TAATGACACCATTCACTGCTGCTAAAATAAGTGAGTTGGGAGCTGGAGTCTTCACTTGTCTTAGCAGCCCAGAACCATATGTGATCTAAGAGAAATGACTGTTGAGCCAGACACTGTAGTACATATCTGTAATCCTAATACTCAGAAGGCCGGGAAGGAGGACTTAAAAATGAATTAGACAATGAAAACCAGATTGCATTTGATCCAACTGTGACACTTCAGGAGTTATTATCTAATCTTGTTAGAATTTAATTCTCTTGGCAGGAGAAGAAAAAGGTTGTTGAAGAAGGAGTGATTCTCTGGCCTCCTGATATTAAAACTGTATAATTGCATCTCACTTTTGTGATGTGGAGTGTTATCAAAAATGGGCAATGTGTGAAGACATCATAAGCCACAAAAATCATCTGTCACATGATCTTCAGTTTCAGGGAGCTTTGCAAATCACACCCTACAGGCACTGCTTTGTCCACTGTTCCCTTCCACAAAGAGCTCTCAAGACACACAGCCTTGTTCATGAAGTGGTATTGACCTATAGAGATTTTACCCGTTCTTTTGAACAATAGACAAACATAGTGTAAACTATGTAATGATTTGGTGGTGGTAGCTGATTGGTTGATTGGTTGGTTGGTTTGTCTAGTCAAGATCTCCCTTTAGCCACCCTGGCCTGGAACTTTCTGACTGTGAACTGATCCTCCTCCTTCCACCCTGAAAATTCTGGGATGCTACCACCACCTCAGCTAAAGAGGGTGTGAGGGAGAACTGTGGGGTGGGGGTGGGAGTTAACACATTTGAGCAAATAATAAGCATGTGTGTTTTACCACAGACCTTCTCCCATCTTCCTCCCCATCCCACCCCACTCTTCCCCACCCATTCCTTCCCACCCTGTGCCACCTCACCCCGACCCACACGTGTTGCTGTGCTCCCAGTCTACGTAGTCTGAACGTTCACAGCTCCTGCACTGCTTAGCCTACGTAATACCATACATACATTCTGTTTTATGCTTAAAGGTCTTGTCACATTCTGACTGGCTCTAAGTGCTTCTAGCAGCAGCCCTGTGTGTGACCTCCAAGTCTCTTTGAAGCTACTCTCTTGGTGAACATGCTTATTCGTGCTTGAAATATGGAAGTCAAAGCAAAGGCCATTTTAAAAACATGTTTCTGGAACTTAGTAGGTGCTGTGGCCCTCCCTGTTAAAGCCCACTGTGATGGTTCTCTTCAACCAGCCTTTTCTCAACCTATTGTTAAACTGAAAAACTGTGGTAATTGTCCTTCTAGGTTGCTAACATTTACATTGCAGCCAGCCCAGTGTGTTGGAAAGAGGAAGACCTGGGGTTCTTTTTAAAGCAGTATTTTAATGAAAGTTTGTGTGTTCCATGCAGAGCTGTTGAAAGCTTTTCTATTTTATTCCTTCAAGGGGCTTTGCATTCTTTGAAGGAAGGCAGTAAGCTAGGTGCAGAGGGTCTTAATTCTCCCTGTTGACTTTGTCTCAGTTGTTTTAAAGACAGTAACCTATAGGTGGTTAATGTTTTAATGAAATGTTTCAAGCATTAGCTGAATAATGCTCAAAGAATTCTGTCTTTTATTTAAGTTCCCTTCTGCCTCCTTTAGACATCTGCAGTTAGCTGGTCTTTTGCATAACAGAAAGAAGATAATTGCTATAAGAATGCCAAATGAAGAAGTTAATTACTTAATTTACTATGATACCATCATTGCTATGTATGTAAGGCCTGCTTACATATAGAGGCTTTGAACACTGGGTTAAAGATTCTTTTTGAAAAGGAAAATGATAATCTTTTCAAACACATTGAGATGTTGCAAATCTTGCTGTGTGTTAAGTTGTTGACCCATTCCCTTTTGAGTGTGTCCTCCATTTCTTTTATTTTCCATGTCAAATTTTAAAGCATGAGAAAGTCTGCCTTGCTACAGACAGCTGCAACATATACAACCTTTCTGTGACAAAGATTTTCAGACATCTGGAGAGCAAGCAGCATGATCCTATGATTTCAGCTAAAGGCAAACAAATGGCTACAGTCATTTTCTGTTTCTCAGCAGGAGGCAGCTTCTAGACTACAGGCAGACCCAGGTCTGCTGGCTGAAATGAAGGAGCAGACCAGGGTAACTGAACAAGCCTTGCTAGGCAGCTGGAGTTGTAACAGTGATCCTGAGGGAAGAGCTGTGAACAGCCAAGTCCAGGTCATCTAGTTGTGGGATTGTGGGACCGTGGTCCTGAGGAAGGAACTCTGAAGACAGTACTCCTGAACTCTGCACAAGTTCCCATGAGCCTGACTAAAGCCTAATAATGCACAAGAGTGACTAGAAAACTTGCTCAGAAATTATTTTTACCAGGAAACAGATCTACTCATTAATGTGTCTCAGTGTCCATTTAAGGCCAGACATCATATTCTCTTCCTCCATAAAGAATAAAGGACATCACCTGCATCTGTAGACACTTGGTAGAGATTTCCAGAAAGATCACCTAGAAAGTAGCCCCACAATAAAGGATTTTCTACCTCTGTCTTCAAATGTTGGTTTTGAAAGGGTAAAATTATTGCATAAATAATTTTACTTTACTCAAAATGCAGTGCTAAGCAATACAAAATTGAGAATATATAACCAGTGACCAAAATCAATTAGACATGGAGCAGCAGGAAAATTTCCCCAACTTGGCCTGCAGAGACCCAGAAATGAAGAGAGAAGTCAGTAGCCATGAATCTTCAAATGGTTGTTGTAACAATAATCTTTACATCCAAGAGGGAGGAAAAATATGTAATATGAAGATGAATGAAGCTATAAGAAAATTCAAATGAATTGCAGGAGATTACTTTTTACATCTGAAATTTAAAAACAATACAGAAGGAAAAAGAAAAATACAAAAAAAAAATATAGAAGGTGTTAAGAGAAGATAGACGCTGTAGAAGAAAAGACCACTGAAATCTATGCAGAAGCTGAGAGGGGAAAGAAAGTTGAAACAAATGGAGAAGGATCCAGCAATCATATGATTGAACACAATCATAGTTATAACTTTTGGGAAGTGGGGTGGAAGATAGAAGATTAAAGAATGGTTAGATGTTTGCCCAATTTTGTGAATGCACACAGATTTAAGAAATTCAGCCATTTCCAAGTATAATGATATAAAGGAAAACAAGGCATATCATAATCCAACCACTGAAACCCATGCTAAACAGGAAGTGTGAAAAGCACACATAGAGGAATAAAGATGGATGCTACCTGCCCAAACTTCTTATTTCATGTAAGACAAGACTATTCAGTTAATTCTTCAAAAAGTGCAAAAAGAAAAAAAAAATCTGTCAACTAGATTTCCTTTTACATACTAAAAATATCTCTCCCAAAAGTCAAGGTGCAATAACTTTTTCAGATATACAAAAATGGAAAGAACTCATTGTCGGTGCATCTGTGTAACAATGATACACACAGACAGACTCTGGCTGTCCAGCAGAAACAAATGTTCCACATAGAGGCTTTTAAACCAGTAACCATAGAAGCTATATTGATAGACTATAAATAGCCCACTTTCTATCAGCAGGTGTGAAGATAAATTGCAGTGGGTCTGTGCATCCAAATAGTACTTGGCAGGATGAAGATATGAGGGTGAACCCATTGCTTTGCATGTTAACCTAAAAATGTAATTTAAATATAATGAATGAACTACAATTTCAGATAGCATGGATGTGTCTCATAACCCTGGCAAGGAAAAGACACCATATCCGGAAAGCTATGAGTCATATAGCTCCAGTAACATACTACAGAATCAAATACAGTAGGCTCTAAAAGTAGGCGCAAAGGATGGAGGAATTTGCAGGGGTTGGGTGAGGGAGTCTGAAGGAATGATAATGGCATTCTTGATCTTGAGACTTAGCAGAACTCATCAGATGTCCTTTGGAAATAAGAATTGTTGGGGTTTTGTTGTCAAGACAGACAAGGAACTTGGGTGTGAGTGACAACTCTGAAAAGTTGGGTGCTCTCGGAATCTCCAGAACAGGTTCCTATCTAATTTTGAGGGGTGTAAAGTTTGTGAGAAAACAGGAAGTGCCTTTTCGTTCCCAGAGGGAGCTCATTATCACCCAGTGATCAGCATGTTGAGTGTTCTAAGTGGTTTGTTTCATTCCTTCCCCACAACACCTCTGAGAGTTAGGAACCCCCTCTCTGTATGGGGGGCGGGGGGAGTAAAGTCCATAGAAGTTACACAGTTCCCAAAAATGCTGAGCCAAGATCCAATCCCAATTTTTACTTCAAAGCCTGTTTCCCCGCTCATCTCCTCATGCTGGCATCATCTTTCAATGTTTAGCTACTAATGTGAGGGTTTGAGCTGAAAACTGGTTTAAAAATATATCTGAAAATTATTCTTAGAACAGGTTTTCTGGGATTCATTTATACTAAGGCTCTGTGCATCGAGATTGCCAAAGAGAGCAAACAGGAAGGAAGGAGTGCTGACCATACTGTGTAGTCAGTCCCTTAGTTGGTGGCTGACAGTGTGCCTCATCTCTTGCACTTTCTGACTGAACTCATGGGGATGTGCACACCCAGAAGGGGCTGATTTCTGTTTTAACACATTACACATTCTGTTGTGTAACTGAATGTTTAGATATATTATACCTGAAGCATCAGTCCATCATACTGAGGAAGAGCCTCAATTATTGGTAGACTTTGGGAAGTTTTCGAAAACTCTGGGTCCCAAGATTGACACACCTCCTACAGGCTACATCAATCATCCTCCCCCCCCCCTTTGGCTACTTAATAAAACCCATTTGGAAGATGGCTCCTTGTGCATTTTTCCACATCTGAAAAAAAGGTCTCTTAATCTGTTTAATCCCTCATGAATCTGTCCCTAGATTAACCCTAAAAATTTATATTCTTAAATCTTCTTTTAAAACATTTTAAGTCACACTAATGGTGGTCCTACCACAGGTATGAATAATGATTATGAGATTTTGACTTAGAGTAAAACCTAACTGTCCTGTGTTTGTGGATCCTTTTGCTCAGATGTGACGGTGGTTTATCAAAATGGGTTACCTGTGATATCCGTGAGGCTACCATCTCGGCGTGAACGCTGCCAATTCACACTCAAACCTATCTCTGACTCTGTTGGTGTGTTTTTACGACAACTGCAAGAGGAAGACCGGGGAATCGACAGAGTTGCAATCTATTCACCAGGTATAGTCACCTTCATTTTTAATTCTCAGCTCCCCCAAAATGTCCCACCCCAAACAGTTCAGCACTGTTAGTTTTAGAAAATATGGGAGTCTTTGCTTTGCAAGTGTGGAAGACACTGTCCTAGTGGCCCTCAGGACTGTTCAGTGTCAGCAGATGTGTGCCCACAGGGTGTCTCATTCAAACATACCTCACATTGAATGCCATCACAAGGACAAGCAGGCAATCACATTTCATGGCATTGAGGCCTCTTGTCATTACTGAGGTGCAGAATATGTTTTTCCTGTAGTTGAGCCCTCAAATGTTTACCAAAATAGACTCATGATTTGAGCATATACAACAAGACACTAAAACCTCTCATTTGATGTAACAGCTGTTTAGTGCCAAAAGAATTGTTTTCACTTTGACTTAGAAAAATCTTTAAAACCTACAGAAAGATTGGAGTCACCAGCTACAACAGTGCCAACTTCTGTCCTTTGAGTATTAACTTCTGTACTTTAAACACTGCAAACTCATCTAGTAATATATTTGGCAGACCTGTTTGGTACCCTTGCTCCCCATCACATCCTTCCCTACTGAATTAATTAGCAGCTTATGGGTAGCTGGGCTGCCAAGTACCGTGTGATCGAAAGCACTGAGACTGTTCTACCCCCATGAGGTCCACACGGATCTGCTCTGCAGGTGACTCCAGATCCCAGCTGAGCCCTGTGGAGCTATGACCAGCAGTTATTTCACTTGTGCTCACAGCTTTGGGAAAAGTGATTGTTAAATCATAAGGGCTGACCTAAACACAAAGAGCTGGTCTATGTTTAGCATAGGCCTGGCCTGACCTGGTGAGGTGGGGAGGGCGCAAAGGTTAGCAGAGAAATGGGAGAGAACACTCTAAAGCTATTTGAGATTCGGTGGGGGAGGGTATTGTTGGTGCTGTTTTGTTTTGTTTTCTTCTGACCATTCTTAAATAATTATGGGTCAGTGACTGACTAGTTTCATTTAATATCTTCACAGATGGTGTTCGAGTAGCTGCCTCCACGGGAATAGACCTCCTCCTCCTAGATGACTTTAAGCTCGTCATTAATGACTTAACATACCACGTACGGCCACCAAAGAGAGGTAAAAACAGCCTTAGTAAGGTTTTGTAAATGTGGGAAGATCTTTGGAAAGAATTAAGTTTTTCCATGAGTAACCCTGAGATGTGGTCTTCACAGTTTTTGTGCAGCAAGTATGACTATGCGCTGACCCAGACTTCCACTTTGATGCAAGGAGTGCCTTGTCATTCCATCTCACTTACCTGAATGTCCTCACCATTTTTTCTCTCTTTATATTTTTTTATTTATATTTTTCATTATCATGCGTGTGTGTGTGTGTGTGTGTGTGTGTGTGTGTGTGTGTGTGCCATAGCACACTTGTGGAGGTCAAAGAACAACTCCTAGGAATCACTTCTTTCCTCCACCATGAAAGTTCCTCAGTTTAAACTCAGGTCCTCGGGCTTGGTAGCAGACACTCCTACCCACTGAACCAACTCACTAGCCTGTTGTTTTCCTCAAAGAGGATTTCTTTTGGCTTACAGTCCCAGAGGAATATATCACGGCAGGGGCATAATCTCATATGTTAAAACTAAGATGAAGCAAACCTTTGCATGTTTAAACAAAGGGTTTCTCTGATCTGTTAAACACTAGTAGGGGTTAGTCATTTTGTTTCTTTAATGGTGTAAGCTCAACAGTCTGAAGTCAATTGTACAGATGTTCTTTGGCTTCCAGCGTGGCCAGTGAATCCAATGGAGCTATAAATGTAAATGTAAACTGTATTTGACACACCTGACTTACCAAAGATTATGTCTTTTTCTTTCATTTTTTATTTTTCATTTATTTTTGAGGTTTTTGAGACAGGATTTCACTGTGTAGCCTTGGCTATCCTAGAACTCACTCGGTAGACCAGGCTTACTTTGAAATCAGAGATCATCCTGCCTCTGTCTCCCTTGTGCTGGATTTAAAGGTGTGTGCCACCACCACCCAGCAAAGACTATGTCTTAGTTTAGTTTATCATAAGTGTATCCAGAACTTAAGTACATCGAATATGATTGAATAAAGTTGTCTCACAAAGAAGCCTGCTTTATGCTGGTCAATGGTGGTGCACGCCTTTAATCCCAGCACTCGGGAGGCAGAGGCAGGAGGATCTCTGTGACTTTGAGGCCAGCCTGGTCTACAGAGTGAGTTCCAAGACAGCTAGGGATGTTACACAGAGAAGCCCTGTCACAAAAAAACAAACAAACAAACAAAACAAAAACAAACAAACAAAAAAAAACCCAGCCTTCTTTATTATAAAACACTGATGATCTCATGTGCAACACATGGCAGGATGTTCTTTAGACATAATTGGATGCACATATGTAAAACACACATTAAAAACAAAAACACTGGTAGCACATACAGCATCTGATAGGTTATCGGTTGATTATCTCCATGGTCACATGACTAGAAGCAGTAGCTGGTAGTCTCTGCCAGTCATCACTGGCATGAAAAAAAGATCAGATCTCAAATTGAGAATCACGATCCTGCTAAATGCATAGTGTGTTCTCACCAGTATAAAAATAAAAATTACTGCTGAGGCCTAGGGCCTGCTATAATCCTTAGGAATTTCCAATATACACATGCTTACTCTTGTGTGGGGGGAAAAAGCAAGGTTCTCAACAGTGGTGTATTTTAAGAGGGCATCAAAACACTCAATAGTCAAGGCAGTGTTTTAATGGTCTCTTTTATATACACACATACATACATACATACATAAAAAGCATGCTTCATTCTTACTGGTTTTCCTTTTCTTCCCAGGCTCCAGTGTAGTCTTTTTGAAACATTTTCTCTCTTTGTCCTAAGATTCATTGTTGTTTGCTGCTAATGCCCCTTCCACAATCACTACTTCCTGCACTAACCTCCTAGATCATCTCTTTTTAGTCCTGCTCTTAAGAGTTGGATCTAAACCAGATGCAATGACACACATTTTTAATCCCAGCACTCAGGAGGCAGATCTGTGGGTTCAAGGGCAGCCTGGTCTACATGGTGAGTTCCAGGACAGCCAGGGATTCACAGAGAGATCCTGTTTCAAAACATAAAATAAAATAAAAACTAAGATTTGGATCTAATGGGCTGGAGAGATGGATCAGTTAAGGACACATACTGCTGTTCTGAAGGACCCAAGTTTGGTTCGCAGTACCCACATCAGGCAGCTGCTCACAGCTGCCTCTGGCTCCAGTTCCAGGGAATCCAACACCCTCTGACCTCCTGGACAACACACACACACACATACACATAAATTTAGATAAATGAGAACACTTGAAGAAGAATTGGCTCTATCATAGAAGAAGTTCAGAGTGAAAGCCTAAGTAAACAGGCCACACCGTAGTCCATGGCAGCTTCATCATCACACACCTGCCACTCTGACACGGTACCTTTCTCCCTGATCTTGCCTCCCCTCCATTTTCTCATGTCAACACTATCATGTCAGCTTGTCCATCCTATTGGTCCTTTCTCTGGCTCCAAAAACCCAGAAGATTCACCTCTGGACCCTGCTCATTCTTTTTCTCTGTAAATGCTTTCTGAGAAGGCAGGCACTGTGACTCAGGACCACTCTGTGTTGAAGGAATTAAATAACCCAAAGGAAGAGCATTTTGATTGTTCAGAGGCCAGATTCTGTTACCTAACAGCAGAAAAGGAATGAATGAATGAACCAATGAAGTATAGCACTTAGCATAGTAGATGTGAGTTTCCATATACAGTTCTACAAACTAAGAGTTTTCACTGGAAATTATGACGGATACAATGATTTCTCAGTGTTTTCCAAAAATAAGGCTGCTATCAAGCTGAGTGAGAAAACTAAAGTAGAAACTGATCATAGGAGAGATTATATTTGCTTCACGGGTGTTTTTTGTTTTGTTTTGTTTTTGGGGCTTTTTGTTTTTGTTTGTCTGTTTGTTTGTTTGTTTTGCTTTTTCTGTGTCTCCAAACTGTGAGATTCCTACCCAGCTTCCCTAGAAGTAGATTGGGCCATGAAGTTTTCAGGTGTCAAGAGTCTGCAATGTATGGCAACAACTATAACCTAAAGGGGGAATTTGGTAAACTCAGCAGTGTTTGCAAAAAATTTTTGTTTTGTTTTTGATCTTTTAAGTCAGTATCGCTATAGAGCCCAGACTGGCCTCAAACTACACCCCCCACACACCACTGTTTGGAGTGTAGGTGTGCACCACTATGTCTGACTTCCTATATAGTTTTAAAGAATTGTGTGTGTGGCAGTGTGTCATGGGTTGTGAGAACTAAAACTACTCAGAACGTTGTATAAGCTGAGTTCACACACACCAGACTCTGTGGACAGAGGACTCATTCATACTGAGTCCAGTATGGCCACATGCCATGTGTACATGGAACAGCAGGCTGTAGGTGTTGTGGATCCTTAGGTGTTGACAGCTTTGTACCTAAGCCAGGGAACAAGAGGACCTATATCCCAGGTTGGAACAAGGAGACATGTCATAGCAAGAAAGCCTAGTTGCCAGTTCTAGCGTGTCCTTTAGAGACCATGGCTGTTCATCGTTTTCATTCTTAAACAGAAGCAAGAATATAGAAGGAGCCCAAAAGCCTAAAAAGTAATTACCTTTCTCTTGTTCTTGGAAAGGAAGAAAATGTACCCCATATCACTAGATAATATAACTTTCCCTGCTAAGAAGATCATTTGATTGGCATTCCTAAAGCCAGTTCCTATTTAGCCATCTACAGGAAGTTAGAGACTTTGCTTCTTAGTGATATGATTTGAGGAATGAGGTCAAAAAGGCAAAGTAGCAGGTGATAATGACTGCCTCATTAGAGACCCAGATAGCCAAGACCTTCTCAAATTATGTTTGTAGATGACAAGAATTTCTGTGGCTCATTGTATTAGCATATCTCTCTGACATTATTATTCTGGGACAAATAGTATATGCAGAAATGTTGGTAAACATGACATTGCTATTTTGTGTGTGTGCAAACCATACATGATTTAATCCAAAGAACTACTGCTAAGCCATTAGGAAAATGTTTATCTTCAGTGGAGGTTATTATTGTCATTATTGTCACCTGTACCTTGACAGCACCTTTGTTGTTAGAGCATCCTGACAAATAAATCATAAACTCTGAGTCCACCAAAGCTTTACCAGTGCATAAGAGAAAAGATAACTTCACTTTCAGCCAATGGCACTTCTATGAGATCTATAACTTATCATTATGTGGGAGTTTTTTTGTTGTTGTTTTTTTGTTGTTGTTGTTTTAATTGCTGTTAGAAGGCATTGTGGTAGCATGTTAGTTTGTTATTATTGTGTAGAATAGATAATACACTTATAAGGTTCAGCACCCAAAATCTAAAATAATCTTTCATAAAAATCACTTAACCCCTGTTCCCCAGATACCCTTTTTTGGCATGTAAACAAATATGTATACATGTTTTAAGCAAATAGCAACCTATCATACATACTATTTGTGTCATTTGTATCATGTTTCAGGGAAGACACATGAATATTCTAAAATAAAGATTTGTGGTAGGGACCTGAGGAGATAGTTAACCAGTAATGCTCTTGCCTCACAGTTATCTGAACACATGTAAAAAGAGTCTAGCATAGGGGCACCTACCCAGTGCTGGAGAGGCAAGGATGGGCAGATCCCAGGAACTCCCTGGCCAACTGGTCTACCCTAACGGTGAGCTCCAGGCCAGTGAAGGGCCTTGTCTCAAAGGTAAATGATGTCCTGAAGATGACACTCAACTATATCATCCAGCATACACACACACACACACACACACACACACACATGTCTTTGCCTGTCTCTGCCTCCCCAGCACATGCACTTATACACATATACCCATACACATGCACATGCATAAAAATACTTATATAAGAGAAAGACCTTTTACAAATTATAACTGGAGCTGTGGAAGAGGGGTTGAGCTTGGGGGATCAGAGAAAAGTCAGAAATGTTGAAGCGGTGGCACCATGGGATAACTGGTAGCTCATTAGGGAACCAGGAAGTCCACACACATGGAGATTTTAGTGGAGGCTGGAGATGAAGTGCTTTACTATAGGTGAAGAAATTCTTCTGTGTTATTTAATAGAACTTTCTGGCACAGGACTTTGAGTTATGTTTCTGCCCTGTCCAATATAGTAGCCATAAGTAAATTGACTGTAATTAGTGAACTGGATTTTTCAAGTAATTTAAATTTAACCAATGGGAAGTTACAGAATTGTTAGTCAGAAGATTAAAAAAAAAAAATCCAGAGTTGTGTAAGTTCAAGTGGGGTGACTGTCACTAAAACATTGTATTGTGTTGTTGAGTAGATTTTGTATTCTCATTACAAAAAAGTATGTGAAGTAATAAATATCTATAATATCTATATTTAGCCATTTCACACTGCGTACATATTTCAAAATAACATATTGATAATAAATGTATATACTTTTTACTTGTCAGTTTAAAATAAATAATTGGTTAAAAATAAACAGAAGCATGTGGCTAGTGGTTCCCATATTGGACAGACCATTTTTAGAAGTCTGCATCTTGTTATGGGCCTGAATTTGCTGTTAAACAACAAATGCTGCGGATGAGAGGTAACCTGCCACAGTGGGAGAGAGTAAGTGCAGCTGGTATCAGCAGACATCCTGTGTTTGCCTCATTCCCAACCTCAGCCTCACTTCCAGCCTCAGCACCCTTCAAGACATGATGCCTTTAGATTCACTTCCTCCTTCCAAAAATCTCACTTAGCTTTCTCTTTTGCTTAGCCCTGACTCAGAGCCTCTCAGACAAAGGTATTCCTGGAAACACACTACAATTTCACACATTGTTCATTTTAAAGCTTAACTAAATTGCTTCTCCTACCTAGTAGGAGGCTAAGATGACCTCATATGCCGGTTCATATGGAATGCCTCCTCCTTTCCCATGGCTTTTGTGCTGTATCTGTTTGGATGCGTCTCTGGACACCTCACTGCTTTTTTTATGATTTACGTCTCCATATTTTGCCACAGTTAACATGCAGCATTGAACATATATCAGAAAGGTGTAGTTGCCTGTATGTCATGAAAATGTGTAGAGCTGTTGTGATAGTGGAGTGTAGATCTGAAGTTAAGGTTTAAAGAAGGAAGATATTAAAGGTATTAAAAGAAATTTTTAAAAATGTTTAGAAGTGTTTCTATGTCTGTGAAATGAGGAAAAAACTCTACAACATCAGCCTAACAGAGAGAAAAACATGATGTGGTGCCACAATAAACACAGGACAACTGATATTTTTTTTTTTTTTTAAAAAGTAAGTTTTGCAGTCATATAGGTATTTGCCTGAGATTCTAGCTCAGAAGACAGAGACTGGAGGATCATGGGATGAATTCAAGGCCAGCCTGAGCTACATAATGAGGCACTGTCTCTTATCAATTAACCAATCTTCTACATAGTAGAAGCCATAGGCTAAAGATTATTTTTAAACTAATCCACCTTTTTAATGATTTTCTGATATAAATTTCCTTCATTGTAAAACAAATATCAACCACATTTACACATGTTGTGATAAAACACCATGACCAAGGCATCTTAGAGAAGGGTTTCTTTGGGCTTACAGTTCCAGAGTTAGAGTCCAAGACCATCATGACAGGGAACTTGGCAGTGGCAGGCATGGAACTGGGACAGCAACTGAGAGCTCACATCATTATTCAAAAGCAGGAGTCAGAGAGCCTTCTAAACAGTTCCACCGACTGGGACCAGGCATTCAAAGAGCTGGTGGGGACAGCTCAGCATAGGATACTATTCGGGAGAGAACTTTGTTAACCATGGGAAATTCATATCAACTTCAGGGTGTATCTTTTCAGAAGAGAACTGCGTTGCAGAGAGGGAGTAGTAGGAGGTTTCATTTTACTTCAGCTCCTGACCTTGAAGTCAGGATCTATGGGTTCCATCATGCCACAGCAATGTTCTGGATAGTCACAGAAAAAAAAAAAAAAAAAAAAAACAGCTTCTAGAATGCAGTATCCTTGTGTGATATAGCTGTATTCCAATGTGAACTTTCAGCCTTGCTGCAAGAGGATCCTTTGTCATGGATGCCTTCTAGAACTCAGTGTTTTTGTTTCTGTTGCCATTGATTCCAAACACATTTACTGAAGTTCTGGAAGGTTCCATGTTGGACATTCTACCACATCGGCTCTTCCCCTTCTCTGGCTTACATTGATTTCTTCATTGATTAACTTTTTATGATAACTATACTGAAGGATATCAGAAACAGATTGTTCATGTTCACAGAGCCAAATTTTGGTTTGGGAAAGGATTGATTAGGGCTGGGAAGGTAGCTGAATTTTTATTAGAGCCTCAACACATTTTAGATTTTTGGTGCCTATATACTGAATCAAGAAATTTAATCTTTCTCCTTTTTGATCATTTTCATAACTCTGTGCCCTTTACAGCATGATACTGGGGCCCAAACAGCTATTCTCAGTCTTTGGTAATCAAGGTGGGCTAGAAGTTGGCCAGTGTGCTGAGGGAGGCATATGTTGTTAATATTACTACAGTTATGTATGGTGTTTTTATTTTATTTTATTGCCTTTACATTTGCAAATTTGAAGTGCTATATATTAATTGAGAAAAATGTCAAGTCCACAGATAAGTTGTAGACTAACCATTTAATAAAGACTCACAGTGAGGCTGATCCTGACCCTCCTAACTGATTTTGAACTTGTGTCCCAAGTTTTTTGTGCTTGTCCATCTGTTGGTACTATTGAGTTTTTTAGGTCTTGGGAATCCGGCCCAGGGCCTAAGATGCTGGGTAAGCTCCCTTGCGATGCCACCACTGGGATTACCCTTTTCACTTCCCTTGTTCATGACTGTATTCATAGTACTTGAACTTCCAAGAATAAAATAATGAGTATTGATTCCAAAGTTTTGGAATCCCCCTCATGTGAATTTACTTCCTTGATTTATAGACTGATATTTTTTATAATTTATTTTTTTATTTTATGTGCATTGATATGAAGGTGTCAGATTCCCATGGAAGTGTAGTTATAGGCAATTGTAAGCTGGTATGTGGGTGCTTGGAATTGAAACTGGGTCCTCTGGAGGAGCAGCCAGTGCTCTTAACCGCTCAGCCATCTCTTCAGCCCCTATAGACTGATATTTTAAAAACTGTTATTCAGTTTAATGGTGAAGGTCTCCCATAATGGATGGGCCTGCTTCATGACCTTGTTATTGCCTCATAGATTTGAGAATAGCAATTCTTCATTCATTTATTTATTTATGTAGGTATGCACGTGCATGTACCTTGAGTGTGTGCACTTGTGCACACTTGCACACATGTGGAAGTCAGAGGACAACCTGTGGAAGTCAGTTCTTTCTTTCCACCATGTTGTTCCCCAGGATTGGCGGCAGGAACCCTCACCCACAGCACCATCCCTTAGCTAAGATGTTCAGTTGTTATTTTATTTGTTTGCTTATTTATTTGTTTAAGATTTTTAAAAAATTATTCTCGCACACAATCTATCCTGACCAAAGTTGTGAACCTCTTTCTTTTAGACCTCCTAAGCCATGAAAACGCAGCAACCCTGAATGATGTGAAGACGTTGGTCCAGCAGCTCTACACCACGCTGTGCATCGAGCAGCATCAGCTCAATAAGGAGCGGGAGCTTGTGGAGAGGTTAGAGAACCTTAAGCAGCAGCTGGCCCCCCTAGAGAAGGTGAGAACCCCCTCAGAATTCCTCTCCATCCCATGTGGCATCTCTTTGACATACTTGAGTCCACTTATTCAAATTAGTCCATTAGCTTATTGGTTCTGAACCATCCAAAAAGTTCCAGTCAGAGCTAAAAAAGGACTTAAAGGGGGATTGTCTGGACCAAGATTCCAGAGGTGCATTTGTACCTTTATCACTGCTAATACAAAGACTAGAGTAACTGCTGACCTGGAGAGCTCCTGAATGTAGTGGAGGCCAAGTTATGACTGAATAGTGTATGGAATACTGTTATGTAAACTTAATTCACTATAGACAATATCATTGCTAGGGAAAGTAAATCCTAAAAACAGTGTGGATATGTTCCAGAGAGGTTCTTATTGCATGTATTTATTTATATGTGACTGTGTGGGCACACACATGCCATGTGAGCACATGCAGAGTGCAGAGGACAACATGCAGGAATCAGTTTTCTTCTTCTACAATGTGGGTACCAGGGATTGAACTCAGGTCATCAGCTTTGCCGGCAAACACCCTTAACCACTGAGCCATCTCATTGACCATTATGTCCTAAATTTTTAAATATATTATTCATATAATGTGTTATTCATATTCATGTGCACGTTTGTATTTATACACAAAGAACAAAGAACATGATTGACTTTTCTCCTTTACATGCTTTATAATCTATTACAGTGAACATGTTAGCTTGAATCTTTATGATATTGCAGGTATAGCCATCGCTCACTTAATAATGGGATACATTCTGAGAAATGTCTGTAAGAGACTTCATTGTGAGAATCTCACAGAGTGTATTTGCATAGACCTAGACAGTCTACGTCTTCACTCAGCATGACCTCTTAATTCAGTCAGAGATGTGGTGACCCTACATATATGAGGCTTATATAACCACCTCTAAAATTAAACAATAGAGAGTATCATTTAGAAAATACTGCTGCCAGTAGCATAGCTGTTCATTACTTTCAAGAATCATGCCACTCTTGCCTGTGTCAACAGTACAGTGGGCTTACTTACTCCAGCATCTCCAGACACATGTGAATTATATACTGTTCTATGGAAGCACATCATATATGCAGTCCTTCACAGTCCAAAACATTGTTTTGTAGCATGTGACTATATTTTCATTTTAAGAAATTGAATAATTGGGATTGAAGAAAGGAGTAAGTCCTTTCAATAATGTGCCTTTGCTCTCCTAAGGACAGTTGTTACTATATGTCATCTACCATGAGCCATGAGCTTGATAAGAAAGCTAGTGACATCCTGCAGATCTCAGCCTGAACATGTTTGCCCAGAATCCACAGTTTGTGCCAACTCACTTCCTCTTTCTGACCTGAAATAAATGTGAATTAAAACTAACAATAGATGGAATCTGACACACCAGCAAGAGAACATGGCCACTTTTATTCTCCTCTTTAAAAAGTTAGCCTTGCAGTTGGATGAAGAGCTGTTGAAACTCATATTCCCACCAACTTCTAAGGTAAAACTTGAAGAAAGCACACGGAAATCCTAGTTGTCCCTGTAGACATTGTTTGTATTCAGTGAACACCACCAACGTTACTTAGGAGGCAGGTTACATTTGCTGGCATCGAGTCCAGCATGTTGATAAGCCCCATTCCATTGTGAACGTAGAGCAGTTTGAAAGTGTCATAAGCTGTTTCCAAAGCAGGTGTCTTAAAGTTGTCTACGTGTGCCCACCAGGTACGAATTGAAATTAGCAGGAAAGCTGAGAAAAGGACAACTCTGGTGCTATGGGGTGGCCTCGCCTACATGGCCACGCAGTTTGGCATTTTGGCCCGGCTTACCTGGTGGGAATACTCCTGGGACATCATGGAGCCGGTCACCTATTTCATCACATATGGAAGTGCCATGGCCATGTATGCATATTTTGTGATGACACGCCAGGTAAGGATTCCTCTCCAGGTCTCTTTTCAAACCAGGAGTGGAGTTTTCAAGACCAGTTCTCAGTTATGTTCTGGCACTGTTTGTTGTAGGTGCTAAAGATGAAGAGGGACACCTTAGTCGCTATGAATCATGTGCATAGATGCTTCCAGAATTTACATTGTAATAAGACAAGTGAGAACAGAAGAGTATGTCACTGTAGGGGATGTGTTCAACTTTTTGCTTGACATTTATTTATTTATAATACTTTTTTACAATGCTAAGGTTCAAACCCAGGGCCTCCTAAACACTGCCACTGACCTACATGTTCAGCCATAATGGCTTGATTTTCTATATATTTATGTAAATATTTTACATATAAATGTATGCCACCCAAGTTTTTATTGAATTTTCAGAATGGAGAATTCCTTGTAATTAGCTGAATGCATAAACTAAACTCTAAGCTATTTCTGTATATGTTCAAGGATGTTTTGACTTAATAAAAGAAAGGTGAACCATAAGAACTCGGCCACTTTACCCTCAGTCTATTCTTTATCAGCCAAGGCACCTTAGTAAATACTAGTATCTAGAACCAGCTTTTGTTGACAGTTTCAGTTCAAGTGTCATGAAATCCATGGTATCATTGTGAGAAGCATGATGAAGTATGGGGTTTTTTAATATAGTATCGGTGATTGAACCCAGGGCCTCTCATTTGCTAAACACACTCCACCACCAAGCCCCTGTAAGCACTTGTCATGATGTGTGTTATACTGGATCTAACCAGCGTTGCCTTGAATAAGAAACATTTAAAGCAGTGAGGACACACAGGACTCACCAGTTTCAAATTGTGCCTAAAGCAGGCTGAGAGTTGCTTCTTGAGTTTTACATGGGTGCTTGTGAACAAGGCATTTTCCTCCTGTTATTAGATCAGTGATCTTGGACCTAGGCATGTGTGAGGAAACAAAAGCATGGGAATTTTGTATAACCTTTCTCAGCCTCCCAAACATACCTGATAGAGGAGGGGAAGTAAAGTGCCTGTGTCCTCTGAAGGCTCACCCAGGCCCTGCTGTGCTCCTGTGACTTAGGTAACAGAGGCAAGAGATTGCTATAAATTCAAGGTCATCCTGGTCGACATAGAAAATTCTAGGCCAGCTTGAGCTGGGAGAGCTAGGCTGTGGGGGAGGTGATTACTGCCACTGAGAAGTCCTCTTTGTACCTGTTCACTAGGGCTTCCTGTTAATTCGATGTTAGTCTGGAGCACAGTGGCAGCTCTTTCTCCAGTACCATCTATCTTTAATACTGTATCCATCCTGTGTGTTAGATGTTCCACTTCCAGAATATTGTTACTGCCCCCAAGTGACAAGTTGTGACATAGCAGTAGTAAACATTTGGTCACACCTCTGACCAGAAACACTAGCTGAATTAAGAGCAAAATGACTGTTAAGTGACATCTAAATTCTTCTAAATTGCTACCGTGATATGCCTCTTTGTATGGTGGCAAATTACTTGAAATAATAAAATTCAGTGAATCCAGGCATGCTAGCACACCCAGCTTGGCAGTGGTAGAACAGATGATACATACCGTGATGTGGGCTATGGTACATTACCAAGTGGCAAGAAGAAATGAATAGACAAAAAGAACAATAAAGCTGCCGGGTTGCAGAACTGCTTGGTGTGTGTCCTGCGCTTGCTCTCCTGTCTCCGTGGAGGTAGGCCTCTGCCGCAAACATGCTCCATCAGATCATCGGGCAAACCAAGAAGCATCCCAGCTTGATTCCTCTCTTCATATTTATTGGAGCGGGAGGTACTGAAGCAGCGCTGTATGTAATGAGCCTGGCATTGTTCAATCCAGATGTCGGCTGGGACAAGAAAAATAACTCAGAGCCTTGGAACAAGCTGTCCCAATGAACAATATAAATTCTACTCAGTGAATGTGGACTACAGCAGACTGAAGAAAGAAGGCCCCGACTTCTAAACCATGAACTTCATAAAGCTGCTTGTAATGAAGGTCTTTCAGAAGCCATCCGCACAGTTTTCCACTTAATCAGGAAGTACTCCTCTGAATGCATGAAATCATGTCAGTTTTTTGGAGTGTATTACACTGATGAATAAATCTCTGAAACTTGAAGAAAAAAAAAAAAGAACAATCAAATCCTGCCACAGCAACAAGTGTCTGTAGTTCCAGCTGCTGGGAGGAAGAGGCAAGAGGATGGCTTGAGCCCAGGATCAAGCCAGCCCAGGAAACATATGGGAACTTGATCTCAAAACACAAAAGGCAAACAAATGTTTAAGAAATAACTAAATATGTAACGCAGCATGTTGGTCTGTCTTTATGTATGCATATTTCGTTGAGTCTAACTAATGTTAATAATGAATCAATAGTTAATAAATGTCTTTAGAGTACTACTAGTGAGGACTAATGAGCTAATTTCTCCTTTGTTTCATAGGAATATGTTTATCCAGAAGCCAGAGACAGACAATACTTATTATTTTTCCATAAAGGAGCCAAAAAGTCACGTTTTGATCTAGAGAAATACAATCAACTCAAGGATGCAATTGCTCAGGTAAGTTCTAGAAGAATTAAGTGAGCCAGCCCCATCTTAAATAGCATCATTGTTACCCATAGTCATAGTTCTTCAGATGGGCAGCCTGAAGGAGGGATCCAGCCACTGTGTCCTGGGTAAAGGTATTTAATAAAAACTTTAGCAGTGGACAATTCTCATTAGAAGGACTTTTTTTCTGTTTTTTATTTTAAGGCACTATCTTCTGTAACCTGGGCTATGCCTTAACTCACTATATAGTGATTAGGATGACCTGAACTTCTGATCCTCCTGCCTCTACCTTCCAAGTGCTAGGATTTACTATATATCAGGTTTATGAGATGCCAAGGATTGAGATCAGGTCAGCTGAGCTACATCCCAGCTGTTGTTGCTGCTGTTTAAGAGACATATCTGGATGTGTGCCTTAGGCTGGCCTCTGCCTCTAGTGATCCTCCTGGATCAGCCTCTCAGGTACTGGAACTGGGTTGGTACCAGTGTGCCATCACACCACCTCTAGTTTTCATACTTAGGTGGATGAGAAAATAGAAAGTCCCAAATCTCAAATATAGGTGTGTCAAGCCTGCCCACAGCTAATTAATACAACTCTTAAGGGTGGGGCCCAAGCATGTGAGATGCTTCGAAGATGCTTCAGTTGGCTGCACATCCTCCTTTTAACACTGCTCCAGCTGGCGTGAAAACTCACACCTATAATCCTAGCACTGAGGTAGAAAGGCTGCTGTGAGTTTCAGTCTAACCTAGGCTACCGAGAGAGACTGTCAAAAAGCAACAGCCAAGTCAAGCAGAGCCTGGTAACACACATTTTTAATCCTAGCACTCCAGAGACAGACCCAGGTGGATCAGAGGCAGGTGGATCTCTTGAGTTCAAGGCCAGCCTGCTCTACACAGTGAGTTCCAGGACAGCCAGGGCTACATAGAAAGACCTATCTCAAAAGGAAAAAAAAAATTACTGACTGAGTAAAATGCTTAAGTAGATATTGAATAAACAAAGTCTTAAATGGCAGAGGTTAAGGTTTTGTTTCTCCTAAAGGTTTTTGTTTTGGAGGAATGTGTCACAGATGTCTGACATGGTCCCTGCATTCTTAGGCTGGGGTCTTTATTCTGCCTGACCATTCTGCTCTTCTGAGAGGCTGGACAACTCTGCCTTAGGATAGACATTTATCTTCCGCTTTTCAGAGTCCCTGAGGAGGTCTTCTGACTGTAATAATTACGAAGAAGCTGTTCCCTTTCTCCATAGGCAGGCATATTGCTGAAAGTGCCACTGGCCACCCTTCCTCACCTGTTGTCTCTATTTTAGGCAGAAATGGACCTTAAGAGACTGAGAGACCCGCTGCAAATACATCTGCCCCTCAGACAGATCGGAGAAAAGGACTGATCTGCTCAGAGCGTGAATCCTGGCAGAAAGCACCTGTTTATAACTCATGCCTTTTTAATCAAAGCATTGCAGGTGGAAGCAGGGGCCATGTGGGGGAGAGGGTTCTTACCTTTAATTCAAAACAAAAGACAAAAAGGATCTTAGGGAAGAAAGGGACATTAAATTCTGAGGATCAGGCATGGTGGAATACAAGTGCAAAGGGCTTAGTGAATCTTGTCTTAAGCATCTCCGTTTCCAAATGAGAAAGGCAAAGTTGTAGCTGAGAGAACAAAGCAAGGGAGATGTTGGGGTGTTCATCTCTTGCATCATTGCAAGGTCTGCAAAACACTAACACACCAGCACCCCACTCATATCTAGTTTTGTTTTTTGTTTTTTAATTTAAAGTTTCTTATTTTGACATAGGAATAAATAAACTATATAAGAAAGCAAATCATTATGAATTGTGGTTAGCAGAGTCTGAGCCAGTGAGGTTAGCCTTCATCTTAAGCTGGACCCAGACTCTGTGAAGTTAGCAAGAATCTCTTCATCCTGGGTCCCTTTTCTGACCAGCTACCTACTTATGTATACCTGCTGGTTTCACTACTTTTATCCAAATAATCATAGGAATCAACTTATGACTGTTTGATGCTTGACAGTTGGATTATCTTGACATGAGTTCTCATGTCTATCTCCCAGGGCTCTGAATTGATGTCTAGAAATCACTGGCAGTACTGCATGAAGTTTTAATTGTATTTTGTTTTTTTGGTTTTGGTTTTTTTTTTTTTTTTTTTTTTTTTTTTTTTTGGTTGTTTGTTTTGTTTTTTACAAAGAAGGAAATTATTTCCTCTTTATGTACCAATCCTCTTCCTCCACATCACAGGTCAGAGGGCCTGTGTTCATTTGTGTCACCAAATGGAGAGGGTGTAAGGTTTACAAATCAGTTAAGAATCATGGCTCCATAGCTGATTCAGGGCCAGGATAACCTTGCTTAGTCTAAGACACATGCTTCCTCATCATTGTGAGCCCTCCCAACTCTTATCACTCCAGTTGCTGTAAATCAAGGGCGGATCTCAAAGGGTGCAGTTATCTTTGTACACAAATACCTTTCTATGGCTTCCTTTAGCTTACCTTCTCCACTCCACCCTGGGTTTGTTTTTGTTTTTGTTTTTTTTTTTGTTTTTTGTTTTTTGTTTTTTAATCTTAAATTGAGAGACTATACTCTATCAAAATGTTTTCTACTGTATTTCCAGATGGCGCCTGCATACAAAAAGTCTAAGAAATCTCTATCTACTGTTGTGTTTTTAACTGTTTCGGGGGCAGGACAGCAAGAATGATGGGGGTTTGCCACACAGCTGATTGGTTGGGTTTTTTTTGTCCCCCCCCCCCACATAATTCATTCCTCCTTGTGGGGCAAGGAATTATTTATCTCCTCTTCCTTTTGGGGTCATAGTGTATGAAAGAAACCCTTCAAATGACAAACCCAGACTCCAGGTGCCTTGCAGAGGTTGAAGACAAGCCGGGACTGCCTCTTGTGCCACCACCCTTCACTGGCATGACACAGAGAGGATGCATGTCTCAGTCAGTCCCCAGCCTCCTACTTCCTTCCCGTTGTTCAACCTCTCCCTCGGCTCTTTTTGTTGTTTGGATTATTTTTAAACCATTCATCCTGTTTGTGTGCAGGTTCTTAAGAAGGAAGGCACAGTGCAATGGCAATCCTCTGGGTGGTGTGGGAGGTAAGGGGTGGGCTGAGAAAAATGCTGAACACATGTACAACCCTGTATCATTTATGAAATATGTATAAAAAGCAATGCACCTTCTGGAACAATAAATACTTACTCAGTTTTTGAATCAAAGCATCTTGTTCTTTAAAACAAAATGAGAAAGAAACTGGCTTTCCTGTGGTTGTAGCTAGGAAGATTTTTCTGTCTGAAGTTAGATTTTATTTATATAGGCTGAGTGTGGTGGCACACATACTTAATCCCAGCATTAACTCAGGAGGCAGAAGCAGATAGGTCTCTGAGTTCTAGACCAGCAGCTTCCAGGACAGCCAGAGCTACAGGGTAAAGCCCTGTTTCAAAAAACAACAAAATAAGTAAAAGTAGATTTTTATTTTTTAAAAATAGTAGTATCAAATTAAGCTTTCTTCCTAAGCCTGTGTGTCAATAATTCTTCCATAATGTAAGTGGACATTCTATTCCCAATTTTCCAGAACCACCAATGTCACCTGTATAGTCATTATAAAGCATTGTTATATCTGATATCCTTGCCTTTTAATATACAGGAAGGGAAAATCACTTTTATATCGTTCTACCTTGATTACCTAGTAATCAAGAGCTATTCAGAGATAAATCAAATATCCATTATTTTCAGAAATTGAATCAGATTTATAAAGATTGCTAACTAAATAAGAAATTATTATGGATAACCACCATTGTCAAAGGTACATCAAAAAGAAAAAGAAAAAAGAAAAAAAAAACAACATGGTATTTAATTCTCTGTGAAGAATGAGCGGCTGCTCAGAGAGCCTATAGAGTAATGGTCCATCTCCCTGCAGTTTACAGAGTCTCACTGGGCACAGCTGAAGTAAAGGAAGGGTGAAGATGTGGGGCCACTGTATACAAAATTCTGTTCTACTTTGCCTGTGGGGGCTGGAGACATGGGAAGTAGCAACTAGTTATTCTTTCTGCATTGACTGTGCTATCTGTAAGATGTGGGTGTAATATCTACCTCGTGGGATTTGTATGGGAAATAATTGAGATAAGGTATGAGCTTACTATATGGTGCTTTGCAGATTATCCAATAAAAAGTAGATACTCAATGAAAGCAAGCAGAATAGATGTGTGATTCAGCAATCCCACTCCTCTGGATGTGTCAGCAAGAATGTGAGGGTTCAGATAGTGACAATGTTATTTAGTTTGGCCAAAGAATGGAAGAAATACAAGTGAACAATCAACATGCTATTATTTATGCAGAGTGGCAGCCAAGGTTCCAGGGGCAGATGGACAGATGAAGCCTCTAAATATAATGGACATGGGACGCTGCTCAGCCATGAAAGATGGAGATTCTGACATGCTGTAACATGGATGAACTTTGATGATAATAAATGAAAAAAATCATAAAAGAAAAAAACACCTCATGATTCTACTTATGTGAAACATCAAATTCACAGAAATATAAGTAATATTTTGGGGGGAGATCAGAGAATGGGGAGTTACTGTTTTAAAGAGTTTTCACTGAGAAGATGAAGTTCTGGAGATAGTTGGTAGTGATGGCTGCACAAAAGAATAAATGTAAAGCCACCAAACTAAACATTTAAAAGCTGTTCCAGTGGCAGCTTTATGTTAGGAATAGTTTGCTATGTTATGAAGCTATGAATTCCTGCTAGAGCCAGGCTGGTTGGCATTGATCTATCACTGAGTAGAGCAATACAGTTGACTGAGGCAGTGTCTTCTAGAGCTGAGACTTGCAGAGGGTCATCAAGAATGATCGTTACCTCCCAGAAACTGCTAGAAATGCAAATTTCAGATCTCTGTGCAGCTGGCAGTTGGTGTCCCACAAGCACCACTGATGATTCTGCTGAGACTGTGGACCAGAACAGGAGAACTGTAGAGAAAGAACAGGAAGAGAAGGAAGCTTGATCACACATGTGCCATGACTCCAGTGAGTCCCAAAGTCCAACACTAGACCAGCTGAAGAGTTGGTGAGTATGTAACTGGTACACAGCATGGGGCCAGTGAGAAATCCTGGGGCCAGGATATGGTGCTCTGTGCAAATGGATGCCTTCAAATACAAGTATAAAGAGGCTGGATTTTATATTCATTTAGAAGGATTTCACAAAAAGATTTAGCTTTTGGGACTCACTTTCACCCCAACTCCATCCATTTTTTTATTAGTTAAATGTTTTGGCTGACAATTTCACACATGTACACAATATTGACTGACTCCTTACCCCCATCCCTCTCCCATCTGCTGCAACTGTTTATCTCTCAATTCCTGTCTATACATTTTATTTTGTAACTCACTGAGTAGTTTAACCAGAGGCCATCTGTGTGACCATGAAGCCACCCATCAGAGGGCTCAGCAGTATATATACTACTAAAGACAGTGACTGCACTGCCCCTTTCCCAGGATCTTATTAGTAGCAAGAGATAGTGTCTCATGAGCCCCTCCCCCACCTGTGACATTGTTGACAGAGCCAGTCTTATACAGGTCAGTACAGGTAACCATGGAGATTAGTTCATGATTGGAATCGTGTCAAGTCAGGATGGCATCTCAAAGCCTCTCATCCCATCTTCTGGCTCCTACACACCTCGCCCCTCTTCCTCAATGTTGACCTTTACAGGGAATAACACAAATGCCATTGCTTTTTTTTTTTTTTTAATCCCTCCAATCTTTACATCTTTCTTTTCTCAAATAAGTCACATATGGTGTCCTCCACAAAGCACCTTTTGGGTTATTTCCTTGGGATAATACTGAAATGTAAAATTACCTTCTTTATTAATTCTTATTTGCATATAATTTTTATAAACATGGTGCAAGCTCAACAGGGCCATCTCCTTCAACCATCTCAGCTCCTGGGACTCAGCTCTTGGATTTCCACTGTTTCTTGGTGGTCTTTGCAGTCTCCTTCCTGCAACCACATATTTTGTGTTAACCTCCCACCATGCTCTATCCGGGAAATTTTTCCCTTGGGCAATCTCCCCTTTGCCCCATCTCAGGTACATTCATCAGTTGAAAGCTGCCCCATGCTCTGTATCTTAGAACAGCAAACTGATTTACCTTCCTCTTGGCTGAGACGTGGTAAGTTCCTTCCATGTCACCAGGGTATTTTGGGATTTAAATACTAATAACATTAACTATGGGGGTGGGGAGACTAAAAGACACAATAAACAAGTCAAATCCAAAATACGAAACATTCTACAGGCTGATGGTTAGATGATCAGACGTTTTCAGCAAATGGTACAGAGGAGGAAGAAAGGGTGATATAAGAACTTAAATGACACAGCAAAATGTAGTATACTGTAAAACTCTTGTTGAATCCCAACTCAAACTAGCAATAAAAATGACCATTTGAAACTACTGGGAAAGTTAAACATGGGCAGGGTTTCAAATACAGAAGCATTTTTACTGCTTTTCATAGCTGTAATCACAACCTCATGGTTACATAAATAAGGAAGATCACATCTTAGGAATGCATAGTGGAATATGAACAAAAATTAAAATGTTAATGAGCTTTGCTGCTGGATGTTTGGCATTGTTCTTATGACTTTTGTATATATTTAAATTTTTAAATCATTTTTTAAGGCAGGTCAACTAAAAGAAAAGAGAGAAAAACATAAGGGTGTGTGTATGAGTGAGAAAGAACCCTGCCATCCCTGGGATTCTTGTTTATAGAACCACAGGCTATCTGGTGAAAGTCCTTGACTTCAGCTATTAATCTTGGCAACAAACATGGGTTTATCTCATGCATACGTCCTCTGTTTTTCTAAAACACATGAAGCACTAAGATGGCTTATCAGGGACAGGAAACGGTGAGGCCTGTTTTTTTCTGTGAAAATCATTGCCCTGCCATGAGAGTCCCATAGCCATCCATCACTGCCATCAAACCACAGCTTAAGTTAACGACATGGAATATAAAAAATAAATTAATTAAAAAATTTGTAAAAAGATGACATACAAATGGCCAATAAAAATGAAAAAAAAAAAAAAAAATGTAGAAGGAGGAGGAGAAGCAGCAGCTGCTGCTAATGGCCAAATCGCCTGAGTCCCCCTGGTGAGAAAGTAACTAACTGCAAGTTGAGATCCTTGTTTACCTGTATCTCCTATAGGGACCACTTATTTACTATCACAATCTAGTAATTAGCATCCCCCTGGCCCTTAGTAGGCACTAACAGTTTCTCAAAATGATGCCCTTAGAAGAAAAAGCCACAATAATTTGGGAAAATAAAGTTTGGGTTAACTTTGGGTTAAGCTTCTGGCTTTGGGGCTTTAGAAGTTGGATTGGGAAAGAAAATTTATTTCCCTTAGACCCATTTTAAACTGTCCTTTTTTAAAAATGTATTTATGTACTTATTTTACATACTAACAGAAGCTGTCCCTCTCTCTCCTCCCGCTTCTCCCCTCTTCTGCCTCTCTCAATCCTCTATCTGGGCAAGGCAATCCAGCATGAGGATTAGGTTCCCAAGAGCCAGTTAAACCAGGGACAGCCCTTGCTCCCATTTCCTGAAGTCCCACAAATAGACCAAGCTACACAACTGTCACATATATGCAGAGGGCCTAGGTCAGTCCCATGCAGGCTCCCTAGTTGGTTCAGACTCTGAGTTCCAATGAGCCAGGCTAGCTATTTCTCTGGGTTTTCCTGTGATATCCGTGAAACCTTTGCTTCTACAATCCCTCCTCTCCTTAGCAGGACACCCTGAGGTCAGCCCAGTGTTTGACCATGGGTCTCTGAATATGCCTCCGTCAGTCACTAGGTCAGTCACTAAGTGAAGGCTCTCTGCTGACAACTTCTGACCCACCCCTTTGATCTTTCCCCTTTGAATTGGCTTTTATTGGAGTTGCTGGTTCTCAGTGCCCACAGCCTAGAATACCAGGGACCTTCACCTACAGTTACTTCAACCAGGCCTGTTGATATGAGGTGTGAGAGTCCTCATAGTTACCCTCTTCGGTCAAAAGAAAAAAATCTAGCCGGGTGGTGGTAGCTCACATCTTTAATCCCAGCACTTGGGAGGTCGGGGGGGGGGGGAGTAAAACTCTATGCAATTTTGAAATTTCCAGGATTTTGTTAATTTAATGGTAGTTCCCAATTTTAAGTCCCTGTCCCTATTTTTAGTGTGAGAATTGGTAAAATAAATAACCCTAACACCTCTGCTATGTAGGGAAGAAGTGCATCATGGCAAAACCAGGCACTGCTGCCAGAGTTGGTAATGCCTATGTGAAGGTGTGTCTGTTTAGGAAACTTAGAGACCAGAGTAAGACAAACCTAGAAACTTGAGAGAGAATACCAGTCCCTCTCAGGCCCCTCACGACCTCATGTGTCTTGTCAGCTCCTGGACCATCAAACAGAAATCTTCCCAATAGCTAGTTCCAACTAAAAGGATTTATCCTGTTCCCACTGAGGAGACTGCACAATGCCATGGCTGCAGCATCAGGAAGCCAGTTCCTAGAAATCACAAAACAACATTTTAATGTGAGGGGATGTCCCTTAGTAAGAGTTCCCTCTGGATAAGATATCGCAGGTCCCATTACAGGGAATTCTTCAGGGAAAAAACAAAAAACAATAGGAGGATGAGGGGTGGTGAGGTGGGCTTTTTTCCCCCTCTAAAGAAATGTATCAGCACAATAGCACTGTTGACAATGAAAAGCAGCCTCTATCTGGGGTCAAGGCCAGAGCAGTAGACTCTTGTCTGACCCTCCTCTGCTGCCCTGTAAGGTCCCAGCCAGCACTGATATGGATTTTCTTCCTAAGAACCCAGAGGGATTTTGCCCCCCTAACTTCTTGAAAAAAGAACAAAGGAAAATAGTGTTAAGAGGATTTTCCACTCTGCTCCTGGCAGCTGGATCAGAAAGATGCCCCTATTCCTGCTGCTCACCTGCCTCTTCACCACTGCCACCCCAGTATCACCCATAGGTGAGTCTTGTGTCAACAATTTGGTACACTGCACTTTTTTTGGTTGCTGTTTGCTATTGTTTATGAAATGTTAGATGATGGGGCCTTAAATACTAATCCAACAGTTGTGTAAATAAAGTCACTCAGCCTACAAGGATGCATGTATGTTCCTTTATCCTCCAGCCTGAGTGTCCAGAACTTCCATGGATCTTCCCTCTCTAAACCTTCCTATGAGCTAAACAGTTCTTGGAATACATATGAAGAGAAATTCTAATCTCTTTCTAGTGTAAGCACTTTAGAGTTCCAACTGTAAGAATCGAAGATAGAACTGATTTTTTTTTTTTTCTTTTAGAGATGAGGGTAAGGCCTTTCCCTTAATGGATAAAAGGGACTGAATATTCTGTCCCTGTAAAGGGTACAGATGTGGATAAAAATATTTGTTGTTTGACTTTTAAAAATATGAGTGACTTTTTGTACAGACCAAGCAACTCTTAAGCTGTTTCTCTTAGGCTTAGCACAAAACTGGCCAACGAAGATCATTCTGAGCACTTCTGCAGAGCTCAGTATGTGACTGGTCTAAATTTGTTTCTCTGCAGTAACTTGGGCCATTCTCTGACTCCTTTAAGTATATACATTAAAAATGAGTTTGAGCCCAAAGGAAATAAGAAAGCTACGTGTAATGCAATGTTCTAGATGGGATACTGGGACAGGCATTGATGTAGATAAAAGCTAAGAGAATATGAATGACTATAGGCTTGAGTTAAGAATGTTCCAACAGTGCTTCACTGACTGGAACACAAGTACAGGGGACACAAAACTTGGTCTGGACAATGTAGAGGTCTCCCAAGTATACCAGCCTCCAGGTGAACAAGATAGGGACACATATATCTGTGCAGGCCCTGTGGTCCTTGTCCAAGAGGCTTCTGAGTGTCCTGGTGAGCCACTGAGCCTTCTAGTAGGGCACAGGACTTTGAGAGGAACACATAGGGTTGTTCTCTTTCAAGCCCTGATGTTAAGGATTGTATGAGCTAATTGGTGATTTGTATAATACCACATTCTTGTGGCTTCATATTGAGACTAAAAATGGGATTTGACACAAAATGAACATTTTAAAAGAGTGTGGAAGCATTTAATGTTAGAAAATATCCAGTAACTGTGTTTGTATGACATGCTATGTAGGATTGCACCACAGATGGTGGGTCAGTTTCTCTTCTTCATGCTACCGTTCCTCTACAACAGGAGGGCAACTGAGCTCTTCAACAGTATGAGAAATGACATTTAACTTTAAGGAAAAGTTTAGAAACCATGGAATAGTCATTACAGGAGTTGCTGTAATGCCATTAAAGATGGAGTGACTAACCATTTCTTGTAAAATTAGAGCCAGGGAGATGAGTGGAATGTCTATGAATTTATAATCACCTGTAGAATTGCTCTGGAAGTCCTGCTTGGCCAGAGCCACAGCCAGCAGGGCAGAGGAGGAGATTTTTCCCTCAGAGAGGTGAGGGAATTTAAGGACATTTCTTCCTCTTCAAGAAATACTGAATTGCCAGCTTGCACTCAGCCTGGACAGCTTAGGGCATTTTAAAGACTTTGGGAGGAACCACAAAACTTGAAGAGAAGGTTGCTTGTGCCACCTACAACTCTGCCAATGTCATTTCTCAAAAGTTCAATGTCCTAATCACTTCTTTTCCCAGACTGTCAAGTTATTTTCCACATCCACTTGCCAAGTTGCTGTATATTTCAAAGCAACTGGCTGTGTACCTCAGACCTTTTCCCTTTTAGTGGAATGAGCTTTCCATATTCTTCATTCCATCAGACTTCACACTGATGCAAGATACTGACTCAGTTTTTGCAAAAGGAATTCAAGGCTTTCCACCTTTCCTTTCTTTTTTAATTTCCAAAAATGAGGCGCTAACTGCATTGTCCAGTCTCTCATGTGACTGGATAACTGAATTGCAATACACTTTTCCATAATCATCTGTTCTTATCTCAGTATCAAAATGCCTAACTCCCCTTATGCTTGACTTACTTGGTGCATTGATTTATTTTCTCATTCATTTGTTCATTCTGATGCTGCTTGGAATGCAGGAGCCTCATGCACACCAAGGTCAGGCTGTAACACTACCACGAATGGCACAGACTTTTAATCCCAGCACTAAGGAGGTGGAGATGGGGATTCTTGGGGCTCACTAGCCAAATAGTCTAGCCTAATCAGTGAGCCCCAGATCAGAGAGACACCCTGTCTAAAGAAAAAAAAAATGGCTCCTAAGGAAGTACACCTGAGATTGACATCTAGCTACACATACACACACAACACACAAACAATCACAAATACACAGTATACATACACATACATAATGCACACACATACCACACAGACATATACATACACACACTGCATACACAAGCACAAATGAAAACACACAACATACATACACACAGCACACACACTTTTTGTTTGAAAAATTAAAATGTAAGACTGAAGTGGATATAGCTGTTGGCATTGTAACCTGAAACACTACCAGATGTCTCTGAGTCCCCTTCATTCCCAGCCCTAGATCCTTGTTCTGCTTACATCAGCCTGAATGAGCCCTGGAGGAACACTGACCACCAGTTCGACGAGTCTCAAAGTCAACCTCTCTGTGACAACCACATGGATGGGGAGTGGTATCGCTTCACAGGTATGGCAGGAGATGCTATGCCTACCTTCTGCATACCAGAAAATCACTGTGGGACCCATGCACCTGTCTGGCTCAATGGCAGCCACCCCCTAGAAAGTGATGGCATTGTGCAACGCCAGGCCTGTGCCAGCTTCAAAGGGAACTGCTGTCTGTGGAACACCACCATGGAGGTCAAGGCCTGCCCTGGAGGCTACTATGTTTATCGGCTGGCCAAGCCCAGTGTCTGCTTCCATGTCTACTGTGGCCGTAAGTACCTTTCCCACTTTCTTCCTTCCCCAACAAGGCCACAGATGGAGTTAAAAAGAAAAGCACCATATGGATCTCAGTTATTGTAACCCAGATTTATTTTGTGTTTATTCATTCAAACATTATAAAACTAGAAACGATAGATTTCCAACCAGCTGAGTAGGAAGAGCCCTCTGGAACCTACCTATTGATGCATCATCAGGTGGACAGATAGATGCCAAGCACCCTCATGGCGCTCACTGTCATTGCTTTTCAGAATGATATACAATGGTAAGGAGCGACATGACATCGATAAACACCTTTAAGTGAATTTCTATATCACTAATGCCATCAAAATTTGGAGGCTTTGTAAACATGCTTGATGGCAGAAGCTGGTGTCTGTGCACATTTTGAAGAGTCCACAGTGGAGCATGACCTCACCCTTAGGCCCTAGCTCATATATGCTCATGTTTTTAATTTGCGGAAGTCCTCCAGCCACCAGTGGGCCACTCCCACTCTAGCTGGGAGTCAGTTATCTGAATGGACCAAAGCTGCCCCTGAGTCTCTCATCTCCCTCCACTGGGTGATGCAGCCTGAACCATGAGAAACATCATGATGGTGTACTGGGAACTTGGAGCCTGTGGCTACTTTCATGAACCTGCTCAAAAGAGAGGGTCCCCTGAGCCTTCCCACTCATAGAAGGTCATCATCCTTCCATAGATTTTTATGACATCTGTGATGAGGACTGCCATGGCAGCTGCGCGGACACCACAGAATGCTCATGTTCTCCAGGAACCTCGCTGGGTCCAGATGGACAGACTTGCTTTGGTAAGAGCTACTCACAAGGTGGAAATGAGCCTTCAGGAGTGAAGAGACAATTAGGGCCTTGCTGCCATTCTGCTTAGTCTCTGAGCATTTGCAATGGAGCTAGTCATTGATGGCCACAACTAAAGTCATTCCAGTCTCATGATGTGATTAGGGACAGTCAGGAACCGTAGTTCTTATGGCTATGGAGCCATTGAAAAGTGGCAGCTTGCCTGAGGATCTGAATCTTAATTTTACTAAATTTTAATATAAAAACTGGCTTTTGATTCAGTCATTGGCTAACATAAAATGCCTGGGATAACTCAAATGACTATACTTTGTCCATTTTTACTAACTGTAAATACAGATTAAATATTTCTGCTGAATACTAGCAACCATTAAGGTGTGGTGCATTCCTATAACTCTAGCACTGAGGAGGCTGAGGCAGGAAAACGGTGAGTTCAAGACCATCCTGAGCTACATAGAAAAGACTCTGTCTCAGAAAAGAACAAAAACAAAACAAAGTCTGGAAAATTTGACATCCAAATTGAAATGTGTTACAAAGTCATTTCAAAGTAGGTTGCAAAAATGTGTATTATTTTCTTATGCATATTTCCTTCAGGTAGCTATAAAAATGCAAATATATGTATTTTTTTTTTTTTTTGAGACAGGCTTTCTTTATATAGCCTTGGTTGTCCTAGAACTTACTCTGTAGACCAGGCTATGGGCTTCAGAGAAATGATGTAGGCACACTTCTGTGTTTATGTACACAGGTCAATTTTAGTTTATACTTAGTTTTCATGTAAATGAAGCAATTTTAAACTTTCGTTAACATTTATTTACGATGTATTTGCTAGGTAAAGGACAACTTTCAAGAATTGGTTCTCTCTTTCCACCAAGTTGGTCCCAGGGTCAAACTTAGGTGGTCAGGCTTGGCAGCAAGTGCTTTTACCCACTGAGACAGCCCATAAATTTTAATTTGCAGGGGGTTTGAGACAGGGTTTCTTTGTAGCTTTGGAGCTTGTCCTGGAACTAGCTCTTGTAGACCAGGCTGATCTCAAACTCACAAAGATCCTCCTGCCTCTGCCTCCTGCGTACTGGGACTAGAAGGGTGTGCCACCACCACCCAGCCAATTTTAAATTATTTTTTAATTAGCTTTTTCAGGCAGAGGGGAGGGAGTAAGAAAATAACAAAGCACATGCACATGTACCCAGATATAACTTTCCTTTCTTTTTTTGAGTGAAAATACAATTTTGATGTTCAAACTAGGCCATCTGGCTGAACTTCATCACCCTCTGTCATCCTCCAAGTTTGGCTGCTGCTCAAATGTCAACCTGTTTCCTTCCCACCCCATCTCTAGGTTTTATTATTGCTGTGTGGATGAACCATACTGTACCATACAGAATTAGCCTATCTGTACTTAAAGTGTGACATTTTCTCTAGGGTGTAAATATGCAGATGGAATTGCATTGGTCAAAACACTGGCTAAAAGTAATAGACCCATTTCAATTTCTTCCTCACATTAAAAGAAAAAGAAAAAGAAAAAGCCATCCCAAGGACTCCTGGCTTGCCATGGAGGCCTAAAGGAAGTGATAGCATGGGTGTGGTCACACCTGCTGTCAGGAAGCTACAGGCCTCCTACCTTCCCTGGTGTAGATAGCACAGTGGCAGGCAACTGGATTCCCAGCACTTGTGGAAGAGGAAGATCAGGGGTTCAAAACCAACCTCTTCTGCATAGTGTACTCCAGGCCATCCTGGGCTACATGATCCTCTTCTTGTTTATTACAGTTTTTTACCTCTGCAAGCTCTAAATGTTGGCATCTTCTCAGTTGTGATTTATTTCGTTCCTTTTTCTTTCTTTCTTTCTTTCTTTCTTTTTTTTTTTTTTTTTTTTCTAGTTTAAAAAGATACTTGTGAGGATTTCTGGGTTATTCTTTTACTCAAAGCCTTCTGTCATCTCGCCTATCCTCTTACATTGTGAACGGTCTGCAGTGTTTTATGTCAAACCCTCATCAAGCATTAGGGGTTTCCTGTGGCTCTCCACCCTTCCTACCAGCTCCGAGGATGCTCTACCCCAGCACAGTTTTCCAAATGTGTCTGAAGAAGTTCAGGCCCGATTACACATCAGTTTCTCAGATCAAGATCTACATCCCGTGTAAATAGGAAGTGTTAGCCCATGCTTCAACCTTGCAGCCCTTGCAGCACACTGGCCCAGGGTTTCCATTGTTTGCTCGTGTATCTCTCTCCCTTTGGGCGTCCAGCAGGGAGCCTCCTAATTACTACTGTGGCAGAGTTCTACTCTCAATCTTATTGAAATATGGATTAGTCCCTCTTGTTACTATAGTGCAATAGCTGACACTCAGAAGGTTATAAAGAAAAAGAAGCTTGGCTCACTATATATGGAGGTTCGAGGGTACATTGCCAACACTGGCTCAGCTCCAGGGAAGGCCTGGTGGGGAGATGGAATACCAGGAACACAAGCAAAGACAGAAGGCAGTGAGAACAGAGACCCCACAAGAACCGCATTAGTCACCTCCAATGGCAGCATTCCTACCTGCCCCACTAGACCTCAAAGAGCCACTACTTCATAACACACTGGGGGCCAAACTCCCAACACATAAGACTTAGGGTTTGCTTAGACCATTCTGGGGCACCTATTCTGGGGCTCAGAATATAGGTGGAGCCCCTCCAGCTCATCTCCTTTCCTGGGTCCACAACTGTGCTCTGATACACTGTGAGCATTTTAGCTCCAGCCCTTGACTCACACCCTGAATCCAGCCTCCTTCCTAGGAACCATGACTCATCATCCTTTCCTCTGCAGGAGAGAGATGGACATTAATTGTCATTTTACATTTTTTTACAGCAAGAATCCATACATAGTTCATTAGATGTTTTATAGACTAAAAATCATTTCTTAAATATAATGTGAGAATATTTGAAAAACAAATATTTTTGAGACAGGGTATCACTATGTATCCCTGGCTATACTGGAACTCACTAGTAAACCAGCTTGGCCTAGAACTCACAGAGATCTGCTTGCCTCTGCCTCCCAAGGGTTAGGATTAAAGATGTGTGCCACCATACCTGGCTGAGACTTTTTCAGTGTTTAAAGTCAGGTTTTGTTTTGTTTTGTTTTTTTTAGGGTGGTTTGTCATGCAACAACAGAAGACTTTCTCACACAGTATTTTGATAAGCTATTTCCTTCTGCACTGTGAGCTCCTTCTATACTTAAAAAAAATAATTTACAACTTTTCATTTAGCAATTTTTTCATGAATTCACTGGAGAGAGAAGAGCTCATAAAAACAAATCAGTGTAGCCAGCACACTCCATAGTCTTACCTTACTGTGTTTATGTGTTTATTGTGCATGCATGCCCATGTGCCATGCCATGCATGTGACAGTCACAGGATAGCTTCCAGATGTCTGCTCTCATGTGTGTCCTGCTCAAACTTAGGCTATCAGGGTTAGCAGAAAGCACCTGTATTTGCTGAGCCATCTTGCCAGCCCCAGCTCTACCCTGAAGGATAGGAACTCACAAGTACCCAGGTACCTTCTGCTTGTCAGAGGACAAATGAACAGAAGACAGGTGAACAGACAGCTTGGTTGGGGAGACGAGGTCCACAGATGTGTCCATGCTGATTTACAGTAGGGGTTGGGGCTACCCAATAGAGTCTGAGAAGAGGTGAGGATTCAGTTCAGGGGCTGGGGACAGGCTGAGGTTGCTCAGCAATGTGGCAGTGATGTGGTTTCCCTTCTACAGATGAAAACGAATGTGAGCAGAACAATGGTGGCTGCAGTGAGATCTGCGTAAACCTCAAAAACTCACACCGCTGCGCATGTGGGGTCGGCCGTGTGCTGAGGAGCGATGGGAAAACTTGTGAAGGTGAGACTGGGGAAGGAGGTGGGGCAAACTCATCATCCAAAGGGAGCTCCTGGCTTGTTCTTTGGGAAGCTGCCCTGGTGGCAGAAGCAAATAGCAGTTTGTCAGCATGAGAAAGTGACTAAAGGGACGTGTGGGTATGAGGGTGCTTGAGCTGTGGACAGAATTCAGTATTGATTTTGTCTTCAAGATGGAAGAGGAGGGAGTTTGCAAAAAGTAGAATGCTGTGGGGATACTAAGGTGGAGTAATACCCATTTTTCTGACTTAAATGTGCCCACAAATCCCATAGGATCTTGTTAAGGTGCAGATTTGGACTGAGTGGTCTGGGGTCAAGTTGAGGTGACTATGTGTCTAGATAATAACTAGGTGCTGGAGGCTGCTGGCAAGAAGCTCAGAGTGGCAGGCAGCATGCTCTACAGCTCATTTATCAGCCTCTCTTGGTCTGAGACTGGCCGCCCACCCAGCTCCCGTCAGGCCTCTTGTGGGTGGGAAAGTGTGCTGCATCGAGCTAGGATGGAGCCTCAGAACTTACATTTTTAACAAATTCCATGGGTGGTTCTTGTCTTAGAAATTTGAGAAACTGCTTTTACATTGAGTTATGGTTTCCTTTGTGTTAGGGAAAGCTAGAATATTTTTGGAGATAAAATTGTCCACTTAAAGATTTTAGGCTTGGAAATCAATCTATCTCAAGACCCAGGATTACCACTTTTGGGCATATACCCAAAGGATACACACTCACACCACAAAGACATTAGCTCAACTATGTTCATAGCAGTATTATTCGTAATGGCCAGAACCTGGAATCAACCTAGATGCCCCTCAACTGAAGAATGGATAAGGAAAATGTGATACATTTACACAATCTAGTACTACTCAGCGGTAAAAAACAATGGCATCTTGAAATTTGTATGGACAGAACTAGAAAAAGCCATCCTGAGTGAGGTAACCCAGACCCAGAAAGACAATATAATATGCACTCATTCATAAATGGATATTAGACATAAAGCAAAGGACAACCAGACTACAGGCCACAACCCCAGAGAACCTGGGCAACAAAGAGGAGCCTAAGAGAGACAGACATGGATCTGCCTAGGGATGGGAAAAAGACAAGGTCTCCTGAGTAAATTGGGAGTATAGGGGGCAGAAGGAAGGGCGGGAAGTAATAGGGGAGGAGGGAAAATGGCAAAAGAAGGAGGAGGAGGAGAAGGAGGAGGAGGAAAAGAAGAAAGATTTTTTTCAAGAAAAAAAGATTTTAGGCTTATTTATTTATTTTGTGCATATGAGTATTTTGCTAACATGTGTATATGTATTGCATTCATAAGTGCCTGATGTCCACAGGAGTCAGAAGAGGGTGTTTGATCTCCTGAAAGTGAAGTTGTGGATGGTTGTGTGCCATCATGTGGATGCTGAGAACTGAAAAACAAGTGCTCTCAACAATGACCCATTGCTCCCATCCCAAAATAATCTTTTTTTTTTTAAATATCTGTTTCTTTTTATGTGTATGAGTATTTTGTCTGCATGGATGTCTGTGAACCATGTGCATTACCTGGTGTCCAAAGAGTCTAGAAAAGGGTGTCAGATCACCTGGCACTGGAGTTACAAACAGTTGTGAGCTATATGAGTGCTGGGAATTGAACCCAGGTCCTCTGAAAAAGCAGCCAGTGCTCTTAACCTGTGAGCCATCTCTGTAGCCCCCCATTGTACTTTAAATAACAGTGATGCTGTGTGTACATGCCCTAGTAACCAAAAACTTATTGATATATTTCAAGGAATTGAAATGAAATTGTCTATTATTGCTCTCTCACTTTTTAATCCATATAGCATTGCATGTTGTTATGGGATACAAACAATGTGCAATGTGTGATTCAGTAATCTGCTATTGTTTTTTGAGGCTCGGGTCATTTGTTTGTTACAGCTAAAGTGACATCATATCTGCTTTCACAAATCTGAATTCCCCTAACATTCTCTGGAGAGGTAAATGACATAGTTGTTATTATTTACAGAAGACATATGATTTGTCCTTGAGGAGAATTGAACTTGTGTATTAATAGAGCTATAATCTACATATTAAAACTCATTGCATTAATATTACATTCAAAATAATAAAATATCATCCCAAAGAGAAAAATTATGAGTAGTACCCACAAAGTTTGCATTATTAATGCAGAGAACACTCCCTAGCACACTAAATTGCTGTCCTTATAAAAAGGCTAAATTACTTTAAATTTTATTGAATAAGGATAATAAATAGAACCTTCCCTAAACCTTAATAATTTCATATAAGAATTTTTGCATATTTGAATAGTAGTAAAATATTTTATGAAGAACATTTGTAATTATTCATAAGCACTTTATTGAGACTATTATGGTTAATACTCATATAACCTTAAAACCTAATAACCATAGCTGAAAAATATTTAGCAAATGATAAAAATTTTATGTGTCTATATGAACAATACTTTAGGAATACTGCTTCTATTTATAACATTTGATTTTTATTGAAAGGCTAAATGTATTTGTTTCTTTAGTTTCTATTAGATGATTATAGCTTTTTAAAAATTCATTATACTTTTAAATTTTTAAGTAAATTTTAATAGTTTATGATATAAATAGGAAAATACAGAAGAGTAAACAGGGAGACTATCCATGGTCCTCGATCTCAGTTGCTAGGTATTTCCACTCTGAACATCTCCTTCCATCATCTGAAGGGCTTCATAATGTAGGGCAATTTGGATTTTTTGATATATTTTTCCTTTTCCATTTTTACATCTGAAAATACCTAGTGTGATCAGTTAGAGTAACCCTTTCATCTTACCAGTTTTGAAATTGCAACTTAAAGAAATAAAATTACTTTGGAAAGGTCATTCATTTTGCAGGTGGAGACAGCAGGGCACTGGCAGAGTGTTATGGGCACTCTTTTAGAAAGAAAACACATACTAATGTTTTTTTTTGAGACAGGGTCTTCCTCACTATGTACCCTCAGCTGGCCTGGAGCTTGATATGTAGACCAACCTGCCTCCACCTCCAAACTGATAGGATTAAAGGAATGCACCACCACCACTCCCTGTGATTTTTTAACACTTCTCAGCATAGTAGCATATTTTATATTTTCTTCCACCTTGTTATCTATAATCTCAACTATTTCAAAAATCCACAAACTGCATAACTTTTAAAAACACATGCATTTCTAGAGCTGATAAGATGTCTCCGCAGATAAGGGTGCTGGACACCAGACCTGACAGCCTGAGTTCTGAGTTTGATCTCTAGAACCCACACAGTAGAGGGAAAGAACCAACTCCTACAAATGTCCTATGACCTCCTCACACTGTGGCTTTGCTAGACACACATGTACACATGCAACCACACTACATAAATATTTTAAATAGTATAGATGGGTTTCTAAACAGATTTTAGTCTCTTACATTTCCCAACCACTAATTTATATATACCAAGTTAACTTATTAATCTTATTAATGGCTCCACTAACCTTTTTTTTTTTTTTTTTTTTTTTTTTTTTTTTTTTTTGGCTTTTTGGGATTTCTTTATGTAGCCCTGGCTGTCCTGGAACTTACTCTGTAGACCAGGCTGGCCTCAAACTCACAGAGCCACCTGCCTCTGCCTCCTGAGTGCTAGGATTAAAGGCATGTGCTACCACTGCCTGGCCTTTTTTTAAATTTTTTTTTATTAAACTATTTTTTACTATCATCCTTAGGAGTCAATTTCCATCTCTCCCTGAGCATTTTAGAGGATTCAAAACATATTCTTCTATCATCTTAACTTAAAATAGCAAATCTTTTCCATAATGTCCTGATGGTAAAAAATACTTTATGTTTCATAGACCATCCAGAATCAATCAAAACTACCCAGTTCTGCCCTTGTAGTAAAAAAAAAAAAAAAAAACAAAAACAAAAACAAAAACAAAATACGAAAAATACACCCATAGACAATAGTTGACAGCCATGCCTGTGTGTGCTAATAAAACTTTATGTATGTATAACACTGTGCAATAGGTTGGAATTTGACAGCCCTCAACCTAAAAGATAAGGTTCAGGTCCCACAAAAGTCATGTTGACTAAGATTATGGATATGCTGGGGCAGGGGTGGACCCTGGAGCCCTGGGAATGGTAGGCAACACCTATGACTGAGCTATGTCTCCTGCCCCAGGTCTACTCAAGACTTTCATATTCAGTGCTCTTATTCCTAGGGAGTCTAAGAGAAGGGATAATGATCCAATTGGTCTGCAGCAACTCTGGACCCACCCAACTGGTCCAGATGAACTTTTACTCAGCTTTTTAATCCATCAGTTGGTTTATAAAATTTTAACTTAACTGAATCTATTAAATGTTACAACAGTTAAATGTTTTGGGTTCTTGGTCATAAATATTCATGAGCTCACCCTAATCATGAGAAAAACAACAGAAAAATATGGGAACAATTGAAAGACACTCTACAAAATGCCTGGAGTGCCTCAGTGTTACTGTGGCAGTCATAACCTTTAATGGATGTTTTGTTGGTTAGCCTCATGTTTCACTTACCACATTAGTCCTCAGGGATTCTGCCATGGATCAAGAATAATCTCTGGTGACTAATGCAGTGATTCCTGCAGAAGAGGGTCACATGGTAACTCTCATGCTTGTTGGTTCCCTCTACAGACATCGAAGGATGCCACAATAACAATGGTGGCTGCAGCCATTCTTGTCTCGAATCTGAGAAGGGCTATCAGTGCGAGTGTCCCAGGGGCTTGGCGCTGTCTGACGATAACCACACTTGCCAAGGTAGGGCAAAGTTCGACTCAGACTCACACACCCTACCCCCTCCACCTTTGCCCTCCCTCCTCCAAGACTCTCAGACTCTTATCTTTCAGAACACTGACTCTCTGAGCACCATGAGTTCCCTGAGTCATCCTTCTGGAATCATTCAACAGATAACACCCCTGCAGGATGTGATGCTCATAGCTACAATCTCAGCACTTGGGAGGTGGGAGGCCAGAGGCCTGCCTGAGAGCAAGGCCAACCTGAGACCTTGTCTCAAAAACAGACAGGTGTGGAAGAAGATCTATTTTTTTTTTTTTAATCAAGAAAAGCTGGATTTCCTTTGCTGGTTGCCTCTGAGTTGTTCCCTGATTTCTATAGCAACTGCTGCTCAATTTGGAAGTATTGACACTGTCCTTGTTCAACAGTTTCATGGGCCCAAACTAGCTTGAACGAGGATGAATGATGAATTCTTCCCCCATCAACAATGTTCTGACAACTGGTCTCTAGGTCTTGGTGTCTGGGATATTGATTCCATCACCCAGCAAACACCAACCAAGTACCAGTTTCAGATTTCTTCATGCTTCTCACTGATTAGATGCGTGTTCACAGGCAGGGCTCTGGCAGGTACCTAGAATCCTTTGGGGTGTTTGCAGGGTCAGAGGAAATGAACGCAGGACTGCCGCAGAAAAGCAAGCTCTTTTTAATATTAAGTTAAAGTGGAATTTATAGTCAGAGGACAATTTGGAAGGCTTCCAGAGTGCAGAAACCGTGTTTGTTTAATGGGGTAGTAACTAATGGTCGAAACACAGCAGTTCTATTGTGTCATTTAAACCCATGTCAGCAGTGTCTTTGCTGTGTTGCTGGTCAACTGTGCTGGCACCAAAGTTCATCCTTGGGGTGTCTCACTCCAAGGAATCATGCCAGGCACACTTTGGACAGACGTTTGTTGAGCTGAAGCTTAATCACACTCTCTCCTGTTCAAAGGAATATGGGAGTTGAGGAGCATCCTTGACCACAATCTTGGGAGTTAGGGATCCTGGTTTTATTCATCAACTTGCTTTGAGCCCTTTCCTGGAGGAAGGAACAAAAAGTACAGGCTGCAGGGAGGAGAAAGTATTTCCCTAGAAGTCTTTCTTAGTTTTTTTTTTTTTTTCCCAAGCCAGATTTCCTGTTCTAACAGAATCCCCTTTCCCACAGTCCCTGTGTTGTGCAAGTCCAGCACCATTGAAGTGAGTGTCCCCAGGGAGCTGGTTGGTGGCCTGGAGCTCTTCCTGACCAACAACTCCTGTCGAGGAGTATCTAATGGCACCCATGTCAACCTCGTCTTTTCCCTCAAGAACTGTGGCACCGTGGTTGAAGTAGGTTCTCTGGTGGACACTTAGGGAATGACCAAAGTTCCTACTTGGGAAGGTAGTTGACAAAGGGTGTGGCTTGTGTTGATGATGAGATAGCCTCACACAAAAGAACTGAGCTTAAAGCATCCTCTGTCCCACACCATGAGCCTGGAGCTGTGAGGTGTGGAATGAGAACTCAGCCATCTATCCCCATTCTCACACAGCCCTGAGCAATCTGTATGTAAGGTGTTTTCCAACATCAACCACAGTGGTACTCAGAGGTAGGACACACCCTCTGTAGTCAGTTATTTGGAGACTAAGGATGATAAAGGCTGGCATTTCATTTGTGACAAGTGAATGGGTTCAGGCATTGATCCAGGCTGAGCTTAAAATGTTTATGTTTTTCTTTTCTGAAATATGCTCACATCCCCATGCTGGAAACTCAGAGGGGGATATGGAATAAGATTCCCACCTGTTAGGAAGCACACAGTAGTACTGAGATGACAACACACAAAATGTAAATAAAAGCTGGGCTATCCGACATGTGACAGGGCCTCTAGGAGTCCGTGATGTGGGTTTCTCATATAGTGTACACAGTAGCCCACACAAGCAGAGGAAAAGGGCTCATTTGATGGGTCCCTGGAGCAGACTCTTAGGGGATTCTTCAGGCCCGTGCTAAGGTGAATGGGCAGTTCAGCCTGCCCTGCAAGCAATCCTCACCAGGAAAAGACACCGGAAAGGGTATGGGATAAAGATTGCTGCCAAAGACCTGGCTTGTATGCTAGGAAGGGACAGCTAGTTTGAGTCAACAAAAGCAGGATTAAGCTGGGAGCTGTGATCCTACAGTGTGAAAGATGGATGCTGTACAACAGACTGATACAGGTATACAGAGGCCTCAGTGGTCATTTGGTTATGAGTCCTGATAAGTGAGTCAGAGGGCTAATTACTGTGGGTGAGAGTCCAGGTAGAAATGAAAGAACAGGGGTTCCGCATTTAGGCAAGCTGTGTAGGTTGTTTCTATGGATACCCTGGAGGAATAGCCCCATAACCAGCTGGTCCCTCTCCCTGGTGGTAGAGTAGACACAGTCTGGGGGGAAGGGGGTGGTAAACAGCTGAAAACCCCTTAACACCAACGCAGATCCAGATTAGGGATAAATCCAGGACCACTTAGAAGCAGCAGCATCCCAAGCCTGGAATTCTTGCCATGAGAGTATGTCCTCTTCTGGATGCCAGAGCTTGGGATTTTCTGATTATCTCCCTAGATCAGTCTCATGTCTAATGCACTAGAGGGATGCCTGGGCCAACCAAGAAGGAGCCAGCATGTTGGCTTAGTCTGCCTGTCTTCCTAGCCAATAAAAAGAGAAAGGTCTTAGGCAGATTCACTTGAGGCCAGTTCAGGACAGCCTGGGAAACATAAACAGTCCCCATCGCAAAACACACACACTCCAACTCAAAGGCCTCCTGGCATAGGGAACGAAATCTGTGATATTTGACTTACCACGTGTTTGGCGGATGTTAACGTAAGAAGAGAGGTAACTAGAAATAAATCTCGCTTCATCCCTGACTGGCACAGGTGGTGAATGATAAAATCGTGGCCAGCAACCTCGTGACAGGTCTGCCCAAACAGACTCCTGGGAGTAGCGGAGACGTCATCATTCGGACCAGCGAACTGCTGATCCCGGTTACCTGTGAGTTCCCTCGACTGTACACCATCTCTGAAGGATATGTACCTAACCTGCGTAATGCCCCTCTGGAAATCAGGAGTCGAAACCACGGCATCTTCCCCTTTACTCTGGAGATCTTCAAGGACCACGAATTCGAGGAGCCGTACCGGGAGACTCTGCCCACACTCAAGCTTCGAGACTCGCTCTACTTCGGCATTGAGCCTCTGGTGCACGTGAACGGTCTGGAGAGCCTGGTGGAGAGCTGCTTCGCCACGCCCACTGCCAAGATGGATGAGATACTCAAGTACTACCTGATCCAGGACGGGTGAGCACAGCCTTCCAGAGTGTGTGTGTGTGTATGTGTGTGTGTAATGTTACATATTAGATTTTCAATTATAATTTAATAATAAATAATATTATCAAGGATAGTATTTATTAGTAATTACCAATATTTGTCATTAATACATAATAAGATAATGTAATTGTAGTTATATAATTTTTAAAAAGCAGATTTGAGGTACAATTGAATTTGATCATAAAACATAGTAATTTTATACTTGAAATGCCCATGGAAGGCCTAGGGAAGTTCAGTGGGCCGCTAGAACAGTCTCAAGAACAAGGTCAGAACTACAGGCAAAGGACAGAGACTTACCCACGTGTGACTAGGATCCATTAGCTTGCTGGGAAGGGCCAGAAGTTAGAGAGGAAGAGGGCTGTGGAGAGACACTGAAACAGAACTTTGATAGTAGGGACTGGGAAAATGGCTCAGCACTGCACCTGGGTTAAACAGTCTACCTAATCTATGAGCTCCAGCTTCAGTGAGAGATCCTGCCTTAAAAATGAAGGTGGAGAATGACTGGAAATGACACTTAACATTGACCTGTCACCTCCACACACATGTGTTCCCACATGGTCACATGCATACACCCATATGAATATACATCTCGCACATACACATAAACACAAAAACAAAAATAAGAAATGAAGTTGATAGTGTTGCAAAGTAAAGAAATTCTTGATTCTAAAGAATAAATATCCAGATTTCTGTGGCATCACTGAAAGGTCTTGGATTGGAGTTTGTAGGTGTGTGCTGATGGAAACCTAACTGCTCCTCCAAATTCATATCAAGATGTCCTTCTTCCTTGGCCTAAATGGCAGCTGGGATGCTGGGACACATCTCTGGTGGTCAGGAACTGCTGCCTCCTAGATGGGGGAAGGATCTAGAGTGTGTCACACAACATTCCTCAGGTCCTTCCCTTCCCTGATTGTCCCAGTTCCCTTGGAAGTTCCTAGTTTCTTCAGCTTGTTTTTCTTTCACCACAACTCCCTTCTCATGTTCTCCGTGCCCTAAGCAGTGGCTTTTGAATCCTAGATGCACGAGGTCAGCTTAGAAGCCTCTTTTTTTTTTTTTTTCTTTTTTCTTTTCTTTTCTTTTTTTTTTTTTTTTTTTTTTTTTTTATTTGCTGGGATGAGTCACCTGCTGTCTCAGTGCTGGGAAATCTGCTTATGTATTTGCTATTCAGAGTCTGTGTTAGTTCAAAGAAGCTACCCTGTTTCTCTCTTGATCCTTAGTACATATAAAAGACAAAAATAAATCTCTGTGTGTGTGTGTATTTGTGTACACATGCACAAAGATACAAAATGACTTAAATTGGGACAAGTCACACAAAGATAGTCTTGGCTTCGGAGAAAATATATCGAAAACAACAGCCTTAGTGTATCAGTTCATGTGACCTTTCTCCAGTTCACCCTGACAGGAACCTCATAGTTATGTGTCACACTGACCTAAAATAAAGACCACAGATTCTGAAATGGCAGCTTGCTGTTACATTTGGAAAAAGAGAAATGAAACCATTTGAGGCCAGTTGTCACCTGAGAAGCTTAGATGTGTGTGCAAAGATGACCCATTGCCCTCTGTACCCCTCCAGGGGCTTGTACCCCTTATAGGAAATCCGTGTTAAGCTAAAGAAGAAACTTCTCATACCAGTAACTATATCAACCCAGATTCCAACAATGTCACCAATGGAAAGACAACCTTACTAGCCAAAGATCTCTCTAAAACATATTTTGGTGTTTCTAATACATAAAGCCCTTAATCAAGCAGCAAGTGTTATATTCTCTGAGGCTCCATGAATGACGGATGGGAAGACATGATCCTTAGCCCTACTTAATGAGGTCTGAAGATGCCTTTGCCAGGAGAGGATGCCATTTACCCTTTATTCTCACAGGGCTGACATGCAGCCCAGCACACTCCACCCACTTTACCTCTTCTTGGGCCAAATTCCTTAGCTGGGATTGTTTTCTACCTCTGTGGAGGTGATCAAGTCTGACACACTATCCATCCTACTTACAGTTGTATTTCCGATGACTCAGTGAAGCAGTACTCATCCCGGGACCACCTAGCAAAGCACTTCCAGGTCCCTGTCTTCAAGTTTGTGGGCAAAGATCACAAGGTAAGCTGAACACCTTTGTCTCACAGCCCGATGCCTAAGTCTTCCTTCTCAATGTCCTGAGGTGTTGACATTCTAAGAGCCTGTGGTTACTTCTGCATGACCTCTGGGAAAATATCTATCAAGAAATTTAGCATTCATACATGTTATGGTTGCCTGCTCCACCCCACTCCCACATAAAATGACTGTCTGCAGAGAATATTATAGGACCACAATTTGACATCTTTGTGGGCAGATGAATGTGAAAAGCCAGGGTTACTGTAGTTCAACAAAGGAATCTCACAGAACAGCAGCAATGGGCTGGGAAGAGAATGGAACTCACAGTGCTAATGGTAGGACCTAACTTTGTAATATGGAATATTCCACGTGGAATGTATGGGAAACAACAAATTACAAAGCTTCCAAATCCATAGGACGTGAACAGCAACAGTATAAATTGAAGGGTTTTGTTGTTGTTGTTGTTGTTGTTGTTGTTTTAAGTAAGTTACCTGCTAGTATGCCATAATCATTAACTCAATGTGTGATTTTGTCTAAATACATTTTTGGTAATTTCACAAAAACAAACCAGTTTGCTGAATATGTTTATAGAACATGATCACAAGAGGGGATAGGGGCCCCTACATAAACATAACCAGGGGGCTACACTATATCAACTTAGTGCAACATTAAGCAGTTTTTAAAATTATGAACATCAGAAAGGTAGGCGTGAAGAAAGTGTCATAACTCCGTGTGTATACATGGATCACAATGGCAAGAGGCTGTCCCAAGAAGCTGTGGATAACATGACTGAGATTTTGCTGCTGTTACTAATGTTGAAACACAACCCAAGCGAAGCTCAATGGAGCAGCATTCTTTTCCACATTGCCACTAAGTGTCCCCTCAAGCCATTTTGTAGGCAGATCCTCCTGGAAAGAACTTACTCCTTTACAACAGAAGCACTTGGCCCTAGTGTTTCTTCAGTCCAAGAACTGACATAATATTGTCAGAAGATGGGGCTTCCCTAAGGTCTCTTCAGCATCTAAAGTTCTGAGTCAGGTTTCGAGGTCACCCACATCACTCCCTTCCAACTTGGCCACATTTCTAAATGTGTGGACTGGGAAATTTCCATATCCTAAGTCTTGCTTTCCTGTCCATAAATACAGGGTTGTCACCACCACCTCAAGTTGTTGCTGTTGTGGCTGAGATGGTTCTTGGGGAACGTGGTGCTGTGTGGCTCTCAGCAATACCTACAGTGACACAGCTGGTACCCACAGTTTTACTGTCATACTTTCCTTCCAGGAGGTATTTCTTCACTGCCGTGTCCTTGTTTGTGGGGTTCTGGATGAACGCTCCCGCTGTGCCCAAGGGTGCCACCGGCGAGTGCGTCGTGAGGTGGGGGAAGATGAGGACTCTGCTGGGCTGCAGAGCCAGACACTGACAGGAGGCCCCATCACCATTGACTGGGAGGACTAGTGCCCGCTTCTAGCACCCTCTTCTCTGGAACATCTCCCTGTGTCCTCTGAGAACATCAGAGAACCTCCTACAATACCTGACTTCTTTAAATCATATACTGTGAGTTTAGACAACCTTACCCCCACATGGAAGAATTGATTAGCTGATTTTGTCTCTGCGTTAGTACAAATCACACCACTGATGATCTGTGTGGTCTTGGTGGGCTTCAGTTTCTGGATTTTAAGAACTGTGTTGTCCTCATGGAAGGTCATCTCCCTCATTTCCGCCATTTCTTTCTTACAATGAAATACCTCGTTTATGGTATAATAGGGCCACTAAAACGAGGTGCTGGGAATAACATTCCAATTTCAAAAGGTAAAAAAATCAATTACTAAAACTGTAACCCATAATCCCCTAAATATATAATTCCAAACCCAACACAGAATCTTCATAGGAGATTTGGAAGTTTATCAATAAAATAATGTATGAGAGAAAATACAATAGCTTGAATGTTGTAAGGTAATTTTCAATGTTTTCATATTGCCTGAGGTGAAATGGTTTCACCTAAAAATAAATTCATAAGGTACTTTAGAGCATTGGCTGCTCTTGCAGAGAACCTGTGTTTGATTCTAGGCACCAGAACCTGGTAGCTTACAACTGTCTGTAACTCCAGTTCCAAGGGGTCTGATGGCCTCTTTTGACCTCCTCAGACACAAGGCATGCATGTGTTGCATAGACATACATGCAAATAAAAGACTCATACATATAAAATGAAATAATTAAAAAGATTGTAAGCATGTATGGAAACTGGTTTGATGGTTGAACTGAACTATAAGCAAAACTAAATGTTGATCCTGGATAACCTGAGCATTGGTATTCTGTGCATTTGGTTAGGTAAGACAATAGGAAAAGGTATAAAATTATACCATACACTGACTTTACAGATGCTCAATAATTTTATTGAAATAAATATCATAAACTACAAAGATAAATGTTATCTACGGTTATGTTGAGCTCCTTGATATTCCAGTTAACTCATGACTTTACATATGATTATCAAAGGTTTCTTTTTCTTTCTCAAAGTGGTTGCAATGAGCAGTTCCTTCTTTTTCTCTTTAATTACCACGTGGGATGATTGACAGTTTGGTTCAACTGAATGAAAGTAGATAAGGAAAGAGAAGGAGTGGGGATTTGGGGTTAGAGAGCAGAAATGCTTCTCTGTAGATGACCAAAGGTGACTGTTTTAGACCTTGGGACCTTTTAGTCTATAACCTCTTAGTCATAACCTCTTTCTCTGATGTTACAGGATGACAGTACCCTTAAGAAAATAGAAACAAACACAAAAGTGATGGGACTGTGTTCTGAATGGCCATAAAAAACAACAGGCCTTGAGCTCAGGCTGCCCTGTGTGACTTTGTTGGATAATTATGATCCAGATTGGTGGCCTTCTCAGGGCACCAGAACACCTGCAGAGTGTCATAAGTGGCCTGGGAACAGCCCACAGAGTCCTGGCTGGCTCCTTTTAAAGGATCCACAAGAACTCCTAATCCACAGTCAGTACTGAGGGCCACAATTTAGGGAATGGCCTGTCATTCCCTGTCAGTGGCAAGCATGTATTCTACCCCTGACCAGACACATCTCAGATCTTCAAATGACTCTTGGAGCCAAATGACAGCTTGGAGTCTGAGCAAACCCACCAGGGCAGGCCACTGGAGGGAGAAAAGGAACTTTGGGCCCTAACTCTATCCCATCTTCACCAGCCAAGCCGCCATTCTCCCACCTGTCTCTTGAGCACCAGTGACAGGCCACACCCTGTTCTCCTTAAGTGAAATAGAACTATCAGTGAGAATGGAATTCATTCATCTCTCTTCAAGTTTTCTAAAAAGTGCACTTTATTAAATGTTAGGCGCTAACTGGCAACTGAAACATGGGCCAGAGGAAAGTCATTGTCTCACAAATGTTTGGGCTCCCCCAGATTTCGCTTGTGACTACCATGATCAGATCTAGGGATGGTGGCATCTGCTTGCTGTTTGTTGTCTTTCACCTAAGAACTGAATTTCCAGGCACACATGTCTTGGCTGGGAGATCAGTATCAGAATGGACAGTTTTTAGCCTCTGCATATCTTTTTCTTAACCTTCCTCAAAGGACAAGCCCTGCCGTCTCCCTTCTCCAGCTCGTAGTCTCCAAAGGGTTGGAAGAAAGGGTGGCTTCTGTCACACAGCCATCTCTGAAATGAGCCCTGAGGTGTAATCAAAGCCTGGAAGAATCTCATCTTCACAACTCTTCTTTCTCCTCCTCTGCACAGATGCAAGCTGCCCGCTGACTGTTCATAAAGGGCCGGCAGCCCAGGGTCCACACGGTGTTGAACACAGTGTCAGCCAGAGAATCACAGGCTGCTTGAAAAAGATGAATAGAGACAGAAAGGTCAGCAGAGACGCCCCATGGCATGCGAGGCAGAGTATTTCCAGGGTGATCCCCAGAGGATGGTAGAGACAGAGTGAAGAATTGAGAGAAACAATGTATCCTTAAGAGAAGTACTTTCAGAAAAGCTCCTCTCTTCAGTCCAGTAAGGCAGATGCATTTGTTGGTACCTTACATTTGTGGTGCTCCTGAGGAAAGTCATTAAAATCCCACACCATGTGATTTTAGAATACCCACTCAGAAAAAATGCATCATCCCTCATGTCATAGTTTGGATTGAGAGGTGGGACAAAAAACAGGACAGCAGCTAAATTATAGTACATACAAAGACAGTGACCACAAGGTGGCTGAGAGCTCTCAGAAAGGTCCCAGTCCCTTGGGAGCAGGGCCTCTGAGAGAAGGCATTTAGTATAAGGGATACCATGGACATGCCAGAAAATTTAGACAACTTAGAGGAAATGGAAATTCCATGCTGAACTGACTCAGTGAAATAGAAAATGAAAACAGATTACCAGTCTCCAAAAAATACATCTCTCAAGGAAATCACTTCCATGTTGCTTCAAGGGAATTTTTGCTAGATATTTAAAGAACTAATAGCAATCCCATCTAAATGCTTCCAGAAACTAGGATTATGTCTTTCATTTTATGAGGTATGTATTATGTTGATAACAAAAATCAGACAGAGAAACCACAGGAATAACAAACCTCAGATAAGCATCTCTCATGACTAAATGCGACGTTTTCAACAGATACCAGTCAACTAGACTCAGAAACATATAAGAGAACTGACACCATGCCCACATGGGGCTTGTTCTAAGAATACAAGCCGTTTTAATACACTAAAATCAATAAAGCATACCACCTACCAACAGATTAAAAGCCACACACCACATTCTAAAGAAAGACTCCAACACCTTGATAGAAACAACTCAATCACCCAGGAAGAGGACTTCCGCACCTGACAGGGGTCACTGAGGCCAGTCTCATGCACAGAGATTTCTCTGGGAGATGATGACTATGGGGTTGAGGGTGTGACTCTGTGAACATATTCACCTGGTATTTAAATGAGTTAAATCATATGCAAATTACATCACTGTCTTAGTATGACCCCAAATGCTCAGAGTATTTCATGCAAAAGGAACTCAAGGGTGGAAAGCCTGGACCTTTGACCTAGGTAGATTTCAGTGCAGAGGTCCAAAGGGAGATCATGATGTTTGCAATGATGCTGAGGAGGCAGCCTAGAAGAGCTGTGCAAGCCCAGCTCCAGGGCTTTTAGTTAGACTACAGGGAAGAAAAAGGAATCAAATGGCTCCAACTGCAAGCAGAGGCATCAGAGTTAGGTGATATTAAAATGTCACTTGGATGGAACATAAAAACAGAATTTAAAGCAATATGGCCAGTGGGAGAAAAGTAAGATACTTAGGAAGGAAAAAATCAATAGGAAATTGGCCTAGAGCAGTCACCTGACCTGAGCCTACAGCAGCAATGGTTCTTTCCTACCCTTTGATCACACAGGGTAGAGTTCTCCCTTGTACAATCATTACTCATATTCCCAAGCCCTCGCACATTCACATTAAAACCCTTTTCTAGACACTGTTCTATGAATCACACCCAAGATTGTTCCCACAGTTGGTATCTCTGTGGCTCAGAGGGGCCTTGTTTTCAATCTTTCCCATCTGGAAGGTTACCATGGTCTGGCTTCAGAAGTAGAGAGATTAAAACCTTTTGGATGGTAAATTAGGAAAACGAAATTACAGAGCCGAAGCTGGAAGCTCTGTAGTTAGGCAGTGTTTAAAAATAATTATCCGGAAGCACAAAGAAAGCTGTGTACACATAAAAGAGGATTCTTTTGAAGTTCCAGACTAAGAGCAAACTATAAAAAAGGGGCTTTAGCCAAGCCACGTGGTTCCATACAGAGGGACCACTGAGTGGAAAGTTATTTAATAGAAGCATGGAAACATTTTCTCCAGTCTGAAAGGAAAAGTTTTCATTCCGTAGAAGTGTGGCTGTGACCTTTTCCAGCAGGAAGGGTGCCAGCAGCCCATGGATGGCAAGAACTTTTGTGAAAGAGCACTGAGTCTCTCCCTCTGCCTTTCCTGCACACTCCAACCATCACTCCGTAAAGGGAGCCCCAGGTCACTGTGTGAAGAAAGGAGCAAAACTCTCTGTCAACAGGAAGTGTCCTTAAGAGACCTACCTTCCACATTGGAGACAAAGCCAAGACTCCTCTTGAGGTCAGAGCAGATGGAGTGAAGACACCATCGGAATTTTGCATCGCAGCGGTATTTGTTGGCACCACAGGTGTCATAGCAGACATCCAACTGGTTGCAACACTTGGTCATTGCTGGAATGCCCAAGTCCATCTGTAAAAGTGAAGCAGGAGAGTGCCACGTTTAGACCAAGGACCTGAGGCAGTCCTGTGCATCTCACTATGAACTACACACTTTTTAAGTATGTGCCACATACTAGATCTGTTCAGAAACACCAAGATGCTGAATTTGAATGCTGCTATTTGCTTCATACATGACGCTAGCCTATATTTTTTTCATCTTTCCTTTTGTGAGATTAGTTATTTTTAAATCCACAGCCAGATGTGGTGATGAAAACAGAAACCAGAGAGGCAATCATAATGGCTGATCAGCAATAGATTCACATTAGGTTAAAATTTTATATTTGGTCTGAGAGTCTGCTAAAGAAAAAGGTTCCCTGACTACTGAAAAAAAAAAATCAGCCTCAAGTAACTGGAAAGTGACTGGCCTTTGTCAAGGACCTGTCCTCTCCAGCACTGTTTTAAGGTATATCTGAGTTGGGGAGAAAAAATGGAGTGCAGGACACTACGCACCTAACCACAAGACAACAGAGCACAACATTGCACACACTAAGCATCCTATAAACAGCTGTGCCAATTGTGACATAAATAAGACATGAGAGCATCACACACAGCTGGAGCATGGGGACTGGGGGGACAGTGGTAGGAAGATTAAGAGCATTATGAGAAATGAGGGTAAATCGGCACGAGATGTGGCTCAACTGTGAGAGTGTTTGCCTAGGGTGCATGAAACCTTAAGTTCTATTCTCAGGACTGCATAAGCCAGGCCTGGCATCCTGTATCCCAGCATTCGTGAGGCAGAGGCAGGAGGATCAAAAGTTTAAGGTCATCCTTGGCTACATTTCAAGCTTGAGGCCAGCCTGGACTACATGAGACCCAGTCTTAAGGAGG